TCTTTTGTGGACTGGACCACGTCTTTTTCTTGTTAGGAGGACCTGGGGCAGGATCAGGTTCTCTCAGTTTCTAGCATTTGGAATGAAACTGAATCCTTTCAGAGTGACACTTCCTCAGAAAATGACATGGCTAAATTTTTATTTTTATTTTTACTGGTGATTGTTGTTCAGGGATGAATGGAGTCCTTCCGCTTTAACCAAATACCTGCTTTTGGGTTCATCAGGTAAATCTGATTCTAAAAGTCAGGGCTGTTAGAGACGCCCATTAGCGGATCAATTCCTATTATAAGTAAGGTTTTTATTCAGCTTGTTGCTCATTCGTCCTCCCCTGAAGCCGAGCCCTCGCATCATGATTTGTTTAGCGCCGTCCTCTAATTAAACTCTCTATCTTAACCTTTCTTCCTAAGTACAACCACCTCATCACTGTAATATTTCTTCTGCTCAGGACGTCATTACGCTGATGTAATGAACTGTTGAGCCTCCAGGAGCCCTAATTCCGCCTCTGTTTGTTTGCAGGGAGACTTCGGCTGTGGCTTCAGCTGCACCAGCGTTTTAACATTCAGAGCCTCCTCTGTTTTCTCCTCCCGTCTGTTGAATATGGATCAGCTCTTATCTGAACGAGCGACACATAATTGGTGGACAAGTGGAACTTGACTGCAGAGAGGGGAGAAGAATGAGGGGAAGTGCTGAAACAAAGAGACAGAAAAAGCACTTTGTGGCAGCAGGGCTTCATCTATGACGTGTTTGGGGGGGGGGGGGGGGGGGGGGGGGGGTCAGACCGCGGGGTCTTACTCCAAAATCTGAACGAGGACAAAGAAGTGTGCCCGGGAAAGTAAATGGAAAATACTCTCATCCTTAAAAAAAACTAAGAGCTGGCAATGCAAAACCCTAAGATACTGTAGATTCTGTAGAGGGGAATATGACTCTTCATGAAAATTTGATGGGGGCATTCCCCCCCTGCAAGGAAACTCCAGCCCTCCAACCCCCGTCACGTCCAGAACTCCCTCAGTTCCATGTCCTCAGATGTGCCTTCATGGGAAACCGAAGAGAATGAAATCAAATAACTATTTTATATGAACAAAATGAGCAATGAAACATTCATATTTAAAGCGCCTGTCAGTTAAACTCTTGACATATTCCTTTGTTCCCTCCCTCGTCTTTATTCTTTGAAGGGTTCAGTCTGCTCTGATTGGCCTGCCCGTTGATCAAAGACGGAGTGACCGACATCTGTTCGCTCTCGGGGAAAGATTTGCCGTTTGGTGGACTTCTTTGGGGAAAATGTTTCATTGTGATGGAGACAAGTGAAGGAAAGGCAGGATAAACAGTGTTTCAGCCTGTTTAGGAACCTGGTGCTCTGTGGAGAGGCTTTGTTGGGTTTGGAGCCGAGGAAACCTACAATTCCCCCAAAACACAGTGCAACACAACCTCCTTACAAACTCCTCTCTGGATTTAGGCTTCAGCTTCTACCTAATCTGATTAGTGTCTAATTTTTAGCAGCTTCCATGAAACAAGACGTCATTTGTAGCCTGTTTTTGGGAGGCTGTAGGAGGAGGTGTTTGGGTTCCCGGTTCTTCCAGAGACAGACCAGGCTGCTGAGCTCATCCTTTTAAGAGTGACACTGGACCGGCCCCGAGCTGCCGGCTTTCCCTTTGTCACTGCCGGGCTCAAATCTGCAAAATGCAGAGAGTTGTTTTCCTCTGAGGGAGACAAAGATTCAGTTGGCACGGAGAGAACCCAGGTGAAAGCCCCGCGTAACCTCACCAGAGCCACGGCAGCCATTCATGGAATCCTTCACATGTGTGTTGAGGGACCAAGGGACCCCCAGAAGGTTCACTCACAAGCCAAAAGGAACTATTTCCTCCAGTTTCATTTAAACGTGTGAGCGTTCATTTGCATCTTAAACCCAGCAGCACATTTACGTTTTACCCCCTCAAGTTAGAACAATAGCATTTCCATTCCGTCTCCCCTGGCCAATCAGTTCTGGTGTCTGAGCCTCAGTCATGTGGGTAATGAGCTGTCAGCCAATCACATCCAGCCTGTGAGAGGAAGGCTGGCGGTGAGCGGAGCCCCTCGCTGCTCTGGAAGTTTGACTCCCTGGTAACATGGACGGTATATTAGATAAAGCATTAGCCGCTCCCCCCACCCCTTTTTCAGCATTTGCACAAAATTGGTTTTAACCAGTAAATACTAAATCAAGGTTTCAATGATCCACCTTTCTATCGGTCAAGGTTTCTATACATCCCTAAAACAAGTCATGCTGTTCTCTTGTATTTGAAATAATCGATGGCGTTAGTAGTAGTCTCTAAAGATGCTGTCTATGTGGCAGCATATGTGCAGCTTGTGCTGCTAGCTGTGAGCAGCCGCTCTGGCAGAACTAATTAGTCATGAGTGTGCGACTCGAATGAAAAATGACTGGAAAACCCAGAGTTTGTAGACACTGGTGTGAGACAGAAGGCGGAATCTTGTCGGTTTCAAACAGCAATTTCATCTGATTCTGCCGTCATAGTAACGGCTAAATATCTATGGTGATGTCTAAGTAAGTGAAACAGAGATTCTAGTGTATCTGTCCATTTCCTTCCCTTTGTCTCAGCTTGTGCACCAGATTCCACAATCTAGTTAGTGTCATTGCAGCATAACTGTAGAGCTTTGGTAGATAAACGGTTGGAATGGATGTCTCCACTCCCCTGACACCAGCGTTCACATGTTCAGGCTCTTTTTGCTTCTCGTTACTCCGTCTCTAACCCTGAACAGTTTCTATAAACCGCGGCTGACATTGAGGCTCAGATGGCGGTGTGTTGACAGCCGTTTTTTACAAAACAATCAGGCGACCGTTTTCCGGACCACGGTTTGTGCCCGTGAAGTAAATAAAAGCACAGCTCCACCTTCCTAAACATTAATGCAGCTTGTGTTTGTACTTTTCTTTGAGCGTAAGCTTGAATTTTTGTTGACGAGACAGAAAAGGTCTGTGCGGTCATGTCCACCGCGCCCAGTACGTCTGAGGTTTCTTATGTTGTGCGCTTGTTGTATTCTTGATGGCAGACCACAGGTGAGCATCTTTTCCCATCAGACTGAATTATTATCAGACAATGAATTATTTAGGCTTTTACATGTGTTGGTGTTTTTTGTTTAAATCTAAAAAAAGCTATTTGATGATTTTCAGATAGTAAGAATTAGAAATTCAAATGTTGTGTGAAGCTTTGAAAGAATAGGGGCATGGAGATGTAAAAAAATGCTGTCCTGTAGCATCATGGGAAACGTAGTTTTGGAGTTTGACCCAATTAGAAAGCAGAACTTGGGAAAACTTGGCTTCTGCTGCTTTGATTCCCTTGGAGTGCTGTGCCACTTTCTTTTTAAGTTCTGAGTTTTTGATGCTGCAGACCTGTCCCAAGATTTTACGGTGTGCAAGAAACCTAAATAAGTTTAAATGCATTCTTTTTAAGATATCTGTCAAGTTGCTCCCTCAACTTAAATTAAGTGTGCCACAAATTCCAGCAGCGTTGTGGGACAGTGTTGGGCCTCCACCGGCAGGCAGCGCTCACATATTCATGGAATAAACACTTCATTAATGCAAAGACTTCTATGCAAGGATCCACGTGGGATTTTTATTCCTGGATTCATTCCGTCTTGTTTGGCATTCCTTTAATGAATCAACAGAAACATATTTGTCAGCGAAATTCAACATAAATGCTCAATGTATTCACTTGTTTTACAAAAGCCTGTCAGATCTAAAATCGTAAGCAATAAATCAGGAAGTGGATGCTGTAATTACCATGTGACTGCAGTGAGTTGGGTCTTGGTTGTGGTTGGATGGAGTTCTCACATTACGCTAATAGATGGATGGATGGATGGATAGATGTGTTATTGACCTGCTATTAAGCATGGGGTCTAGACTTTTAGATGGACAGTATTATTCAGTTTCCACACAGGTGTCCATATATCAAATTGTAAATGAGATCTGATGGATACATTTTTGATCCTGAGGAAAATTCAAGTCTGATCTGGCTCCATTCCCCCTTCTATGTTTGTTACAGCTGGTAGCAATTCAAGTCCCCATTCCTATTTGACTTTTTCTGTGGTTGTGAGATGTACTCGCTGTTTGTTAATTGTCTTAAATATGTCTTACAAAGTTTCCAGGGTGAGGGATGTTTGGGTTTCCTCCCCATCTCTGTGACCTCACCCCACATCAGCAGATGAGGAAAAGCAGGTGATGAATAGGAGTTTACTTCCACATTGTGCACCGGTTTTTGGCCCAAATACTCAAAAATTTTGGAAATGTGGCTTTCTTTATACTGTCCATCATTCAGGTAGAACATATTAACTCTGTGTGTGCCACTTGCAGTAGTCTTGAGGTTGAAAGATTCCAGTGGAGAAAAGGGAAGTATGGAGGTGATGATGCATGAGGAGAAGGTTCCACTCCCACTGCTGTTCTCCAAAGACTGTGTCCTGCTCAGAAAAGCCCCCCACTGGAGGCCGCTGAGAGCACATACTTACAAAGAGATGTTTACACATTACTCTGTGTTGGAAGGGAGACACTCAGAGCTCCTCACAATTTACACGACTCCAGCTCAGAAATCCGGATACCCCAAGACGTTTGCCCAGTGGGCCTCCATGACTTCCTCCTCTCTGCAGAGTGGAGGATGTTTGGGAAGAGGCACCTGGCAGCCGGGGGAGCCGTACCGTGACGTGTTCATGCCCGATGGCCCAGCAGACGGAGCTGAATGACAGAGTTCTGCTTTTAAGTTTAAGTTACAACACAAACCGCAGGAGCTCAGCTCTCTGCTGCAGTCAGAGTACTCGGTGATGGAGTGAAAGACAACCCGTCTGAATTGTCTCCGTATATTAATTAAGGCTTTACAGAAGTCTTCCAAATAAGTTCAAACGTCCCTGGATAACTGGAAGCACCAACCCATTTCAGTTAGCTGGATTAGTATTCGGAGCAAAGCAGCGAGATCTGGGGTGTTTTTTTTAATAACGGATTTTCTTTGTAGTTTGTTGAAAAAATGAAAGACCCCTTTAATCCCAGTAAGTACAGTACAACCTTCTCAATCCGTTTCCAGGTGTTGGTTAATGGTTGCATAACACTTCAGTTTGTGTTGATTTGCCAAGAATCTGTTTAATGAAGGATTCTGACATCACATTTAAGGAGGTTTGTCACTGGAAAGCTGAGTCTCTGCATTGTTTTCCACACTCATGTATTCTTCTATATTTTCATCAGCCTCCCCGTAGGTCTCCTGTAACCCCAGACATGCAATTAACCCACAAACTGGTGGTGAAGTGCGCCCAGATGGGTATTTATAGCAGAGCTCACTTACATTTGTCTCAGGGTCCCAGTTTATAAGAGAAATCTTATCCTAAGGACTAAAGCTTGGCCTTTCTGTGTGATTATCACCTTTCCATATCTGTTTTCCAAATGAAACAAAATCAGAGGTGTTGGAGTTTTTACAGAGCAGGTCCTCAGAGACGTTTAAACCCTTCTGGAGAACGCGTGCACGGCCGACTGGGTAACACTGGCTGACAGCAGATTAAATCAGCAATTCCATCTTGTCATGCAGAAGCTGGGGAACTTTTATAAGGTAATCTTTACAGCTATTAAGGCTCTATGAAGCCATAACGCCCTCGGTTGGAGTGTGATTGTAAAGCGGAGGAGGCGGCGGCCTACAGCCGGTCGTTTTCTCGCTGTCTCCGTGTGTCTGCTGCTCTGGAAACAGCATCGGTTTACATTTCTTCTGTTTACTTGTGTCATTGTGCATCAGCGTGGATGTTATGAAGTCTGTCACATTACACCGGTGACGTTATCTTCAACACTGATCATTTTATTCAGACTCTCAGCATGCAAACTCAGAAGCATGGAAATAGGAAATAGACCTGTTTCCTATTTTTATCTCTATTTTTTTTTACTTGCATTTAAAATGTTTTGTACAAAACCAACTTAAGGATGTGAAAATGCTCTTTTTGACATAAGCATTTCTTTAAGTAGTCTTCAGGAATAGATCTCCAGGCTTTTGGAAGCCTTCCCAAGGTAGACCAGTTTTCAGCCTGCAGCTGTTTGAAAATCACCAGAAATCCAGTTTACTGTCTTTCAAATTATGTTATCTTTGGCTTCTTTTTCACATCAACTAAAGAAAATAACTAATGACGTGTCTTTGTGACTCAGTTGAGTGCTCATCCCTTGAGTTAGAGCCTGAAGAAAGAAAAAACGCATCACTCTGAAAATGGTCAGATGAGATAAAAAGCAGCTGTCCAAATCCCGGAGAACTATTGCTCAAATCACTTTAAGAATATAATCTAAAGGAGGGGCAGGTGGTTCAGGATTTTTGGCCAGCAGTATAAATTTGAAATCCTGTCACACTCAAACTGTACAGATGCTTCTTTTGGAACCTTCCCTCTGTACAAACGGTTTACTGTGCATGTGGTCCCCTGATGGGAGTCGATGCTCTGTAATGCCATCTAAAAGTTTCCCATGTCAGTTCAAATTGGACCAAAACTCTTTGTTACTCCTGAAAAACAGCCAGCTTTCTCTTTACAGTGGGAGCTCATTCTCACCTAATCACCCCATCCTTTTTTCATCTCTTCCGCTTTAATCGAGTGCCTTCACTGAAAGGGACTCTTTTTCCAGCCCACTTGCTTCTCATAACCCTTTCTCACTTAAAACAACTCAGCCTTTGTCCTGAAGGCAGCCACATTTCTGCTGACTATCTTTTAAAACCATTTGTAGCAGTGAAGTTTAAAGGGAAAAAAAGAGTTTTTAAGCCTAGAAAAGCTCATCTCTAGCTGCACTTGGTGAGCATGGAGCTTTTAGGAGCATGTTTGGTGGAAACTGCAGCTCCTGGAAACATTCGTTGCACCTCTTCTTCTTGCATTCAGCCACAATTCCAAACAGCAAAAAAAGAACGCTGAACACACTCTGTGCCCCGAAATACGATGATCTGAAAGAATTTGAAAGCTGTTTGTTGTGACACTCTGTTTTACAGAGTCCAAATCCTTTGAGCTGCAGAACGTGTTGGCAGGTTTTTTCATTATCAACGGAGGAAATTAATTCCTGAAAATTGCAAACAAATTTCCTAGAATATCTGAATATCTTTACCAAAGAATCTGGCTGTGACAGAGGATGAGCCAGTTAGAAAAATGCAGACTATCAGAGACTATAAAAGCATTTTTAAAGTGTCAGGATGACAGTTTCTTTGCAGTTCCAGACCTCAATAATCAAAGTCTCAGTGTCACATGAACATAAAAGGGTGTTTTGGTCTAAACGTCAAAGCTTTCCAAACCCAAACACACTTCAGTGTAAGAACCAAAACTGAAGTAAACGGGGAGTTATGTGAGAGCTGCCCTTCCTCGTTTAAGATGGTTAACAGGGTGAAGCATGTCCGAGGATAGCTGGGGAAGCCATGATGAACACCACACACCCAGGGCTATGGATTCCCTCAGAGAAAAGAGGATTTCTGGGTACCATCAGGCTGACTGAACACCAACAGGGACCCAGTCTGAGGTTTAGCATGTCAAAGCTGCACACAAACCCACCAGCGGGGTTCTCTCAGTACTTTCAGGACCACCAGATTGCCGGAACACCATCTGATTTAAAAAAGCAACCGGATTTATCCCGCTGTGATGGGATTCCTCATTTTCCACTTAATAAGAAAACGGGTTTGAGGAAGACTCTGTTTGAATTGATGTGCTGTCAAAGGGGGCATTAGATTTATACTTTTAAGTAGAACAACTGGATTTCCTATGTTCATTTCCTGCAATCAGGTTTTCACTTGATCTTAAGCTGTACAATGTTTGCTCTTTGTCCAGTGACATGACGTCTCTGAAGGCTTCATTCCCGTTTTCTCTGTTTTTTATTCGTCTTCTTTCACTCCTCTTTTGGCCTGCTTCTCTCTCATAATGAATAATACCTGATAAACTTCACATATCCATTCTTCCCAGATAATAGGATTCTTCTGGCAGGTTGTTAAAATGACTCACGTCTTTAATTTGAACTCAAAATGGGATTGGCTGTAATGTCAGTAGTCATTCTGTCACAGGAGCAACTCCCTTTTTTTTAAAAGGCGGAATCTCCCTGGCCCAGTTTGTCTGTTGAAGAGCCCATTCAGCATGTGGTGGAAGGCTAAAAATGTCGTGTCCTGTGTGGTTGTTTTCAGACTTGTTAGCAGTGCCCAAGCATCCATACGCGGCCATGGAGAACTGGGGGCTGAGCGTCTTCGTGGAGCAGAAGATACTGCTGGATGCCGAGGTGTCCTCGTCCTCCTATCAGATGGAGCTCACCATGGTCGTCGTCCATGAGATCTGTCACCAGGTAAGGGGCAGATTTTATGGCTCTGGAAAGCCGTCGGAACGCTTTGTGAGTGACTTTAAGTGTAGGAGAAGAGTCTGGGAGCCACTTGTTCCAGTTACAGTAAATTAACATGAGCATGTCGTGAAATATTATTTTGATAGGAACAGAGGGGCATTAGATGTAGTTTTATAAGTGCTAAGTACATAAAGATCTAATGATCACTTAAATGATGGTCTCTTGTTAAACAAACATTCATGCTTTGGTATTCAAAGAAATCCTTATTGTTTTTTAGCAACAATGAAACTTAATTTTAAGTTTGAAGAGTTCCATTTTAGCTACTGTCTCACTTCTTATCTGCAGGTTTTAGTGGTTGTGAGCCTTGCCTGGACACCAAATATGTATATTTTAGTAGCAGGAGCAGCCTCCTCTTTCGGCTGGGGACTGAATCCAATTCAGAACTCTGAAAAACGTCCTAGGTTTGAACTTGAATAAAGCTGTTTGAGGGGCTTGCATACAGAACAGTCTGTGAGGGGCTCTCAGGGTTCTTGTCCAGGTGTTAGATGTCTGTAGTGATTGAGGTGGACGCTATGATTTTCCTCCAGCTTCGTTATCCTTTGCAATCAGCCTGGCTGGTAAGAAAGGAACACCTTGTTGAGTCGCGACTCGTGCTGCTCTCCGGCCTGCCCTCAGCTGGGTTCCACTTGAACACGGTGTGATAGGAGCTGTGTGTCATTGAGGATGAGTCATTGAAGGGATTTCCTTCCAGCCCGAGTGTCTTTTCCAAGCCACACAGTGAAGGTCAAGCCACTCTGTGCGAGTCCTCTTCAGCCCGTGGTGATCCTGCTGAAATGAAGTTGACCTGATAAAACCTGTAATACTTTGGGTTCACACCGCAATGAAAGAAAAAGTTTCATTTTTTCCTCACTTGAGGCTGTGCTTCAGGTCTTGTCTGTTAAGGCTGAGGCTGCTGTTCTTTGCATAGACAATTTTACCCACTTTTTGATCAGGTTCAGATTGGCCAGGTCATCTCCAGGGACCTGGTTTCCAATCTTTACTTCTGGCAAAAAAAAAACAGTCCTGCACATTTGTCTGTGAGAGTCCACAGTGGTTTGAGTCCTGGAAATGCACCTGTCTGCTCTGCTGGAGCTTAGTGGGACATATTCTAGCCAGGTCAAACCAGGACGGTGTGCTGTCCAATTTCTCTTCATCTCACCTAAAACTGCCCCGTGTCCTTTCAGTTGCACCTCAGGGATAAATGTATTTTGGAATCGACACAGAAAAAGGAAGATGTGTGGCAGCCTGTGCTCAGAATTCGAGAGCCCCATCATTCCTCGTACAGATTTCATTCGACACAAAATCACATTGTCTGGACACAACAACCAACACAAACCCTGAGGGACAGCTGGACATGTGTGTACACACCTGCCTGCGGTCCAGCCCAGGCTCAGGGCTCTGGGTGGTCCTCCAGCAAATCTTAACCCATCTCACAGCTCTATATTTGAGTGTCTCGCTTTAAAAGAGATGTCTTCTGTATTACAGGAGGACAGAATCTACCAAATCCCTCACTGAAACACAGTAATGCCTCACCTGAACAACTGGGTATTTGCCACAAACCGCCTCCGTGCTGGTGTGAACCAGGATTCATCTTTTTCATGGATAAAAGGCCCTTGTTTGTTAGTTGTTACTTTTTATTTAATCCATTTCAAGCCTTTGCCAAAAGACGCTGCTCTATTTAAACGATGATAACATTGGAACACTAATAATCCCTGAGGGGAAATTCTTTTGTTCCAGTTAAATATCTGTCTTAGCTTATTAGGAAGGAAATGACTTTGATTCCTTTTTGTTTGTTCTCTTTGTTTTGCTCGTTAGCACAATATTTGAAAACTACACGAATACATTTTGAGCAAAACCGTTTTGTCATTGTTTTAATCTTGTGGCACTTATTATGAGCTGCAAAAAAAATCTAATAAAAATCCTAAAACAGACTCTGCAGTTAGTTTTAGCTAAGTAACTGATGCTTAGGAGTGTGAAGCTCATGCGTTGGCAGGTCAGTGAAGGGTCCTTATTAGGGAAAGATGTTCCTTTCGGACAAAGTGGCGCCGAATTTCTTTAATCATTTTGTGTCTTTTAGCAATGAAACACACAGAGCGTGGAGATGGCTGCTCCAAACTGCTGCGTGGCAACAAAAAAGAGCAGAAATGATCTGCTCATAAATAGACATGACACAAGTCATATGAGCTCCAGCTGAAAGGCCAATAAGCTCCGTGTTTGTGTGGATGTGTGACAAAGCTTCTGGGCTTTGGCACAGGAGATGATCCTCTTTTTACAGCGTGACTTCAAATACATGAAGAGCAGACGAACATAATGACGCAGGAGAACCTTTGAAAGTTCTTATGCGGGAAAGAAGCAGGGAGTGGGAGCCAGCAAGTAAGAAGTAAGACAGATACAGACAGATGAAGAGCAAATGGGAGAAGGGGGGAGGAGGCGTAGGAGACGGAAACAAAGAGGAAAAGGAACAAAGTGAAGGAGAGTTAGAATTGAAACGACTTCTGTTAAACGAGAAGGGGAAGAGAAAGATGAGCAAAGACAGAAAGAGAGCAGACCGCTATGAAAATATCCTAAAGTCAGAGCCTCGTTCTGCTGCCGAGCTTTAGAAACGAGCGTTTTCTCTTTCAACTGAATTGAATCCAGCTCCACGTGGAGTCGGGCAAGCTGTGAAGACAGCAGCCACAAGCTCAGACGATTAATATTAACAGACACGACATTATCGCACACGAGAGGGGATTATCATGATCAAACCAAGAGCAGCGTCATCATGCGGCTTTTTCAGAGCCTTTCTGCCTTAAAGAGCATAAAACTCTGTGGTGATATCTGCTATTTAGAAGCCTCATTTACCACCAAATTCTTCCTCCTGGCTAGTTCTTTGCCCTGTGTATGGGAGGTAATCTGAGACGTAGTGGTACAGGGGGGTCAACACCACTTTACCTGCCAGTTTAGTTCAGTGATTAGGAGCTGTGACAGGTACAAAAACATAGGAAAAATGTTTCTTTTGCAAATGACTCCGGAAACAGATGCTTTTCGCAAGCTTCTAAAAGTGAAAGTAGAGTTAAGAAAATCAGAATCAGAATCGGAAATACTTTAATAATCCCAGAGGGAAATTATTATTATTATTTTGAAAAAGGCTCACCAGATCGGAAAGACGTTTTGCGGACTGGCGAGTGGTTGATATTTGTGTGGAACAGTCCAGTTGTAGTGATGTGAGACAAACCTGAGGCCGGGTGGGGGCGTTTGTCTTGAGGCTCTGGATCGGACTGGGATGCTGTGTGTGGTTAGATCTGGTCCTAATACCTGAATGCCTCAGGTGGAGTCCTGATGCCGGTCTACAGTTCAGGCTGACCTCATCGGGGCGTTCAGGGTTCCGAACTCAAAGCCTTCAGGTGCAGCTTTGTCCTGTGGTGCCCCCCCCTTCCTGTCCTTCTGCCCCGGGCCTTCAGCAAGGAGCCTCATGCCCGTCCTTATTATTTTCATTTCAGAAATAGTACCAGACTGAGGTGTTTTGTGCCACAAGCTGACATGGTGATTTTCATTCATGCTTCTATGTGATTGTCGCCCCGGAGGAGCATCAGAAATAACTGGAAGTTTCTCTGTGGGCTGGTGTGTTTTGTGGCTTCCTGTGTGCGTTTTTTGGCTTCCTGTTTGTGTTTTGTGGCTTCCTGTGTGCGTTTTGTGGCTTCCTGTGTGCGTTTTGTGGCTTTGTGTGTGTATTTTGCTGCTTCCTGTCTGCGTTTTGCGGCTTCCTGTGTGTGTATTTTGCTTCCTGCCTGCTTTTTGTGCTTTCCTGCCGCATTTTGTGGTTTTGTGTGTGTATTTTGTGGCTTCCTGTCTGCGTTTTGTGGCTTCCTGTGTGTATTTTGTGGCTTCCTGTCAGCGTTTTGTGGCTTCCTGTGTGCGTTTTGTGGCTTCCTTTCTGCGTTTTGTGGTTTTGTGTGTGTATTTCGTGAATTCCTATCTGCGTTTTGTGGCTTCGTGCCTGCATTATGTGGCTCCCTGTGTGTTTTTGTCTGGCTTCCTGTGTGAGCTTCCTCTGAGAGCTGGTGAGTTTCGCCGGATTACTATCCAGCTATTGTAGACCTCAGCTTCTGGTTCTAGCATGGACAAATGGCTCGTCCATTCTCTGGACACTCTCCCTGCTGACTTGGATCTGGCAGCAGGGTGTTTACTGCACGTGTTGTCCTCGCCCCTGATCACAGTCTAGTTGTTGGTCATCGGTTTGGCCATTTCCTTGTTCTTCAGTCAGTCTTGTTTTTCAATGAGTTCTTTAGACCAAAGGTCAGGGTTCAGACGTCACTGGACAGCTTGGCAGCCCACGTTCAGTCAGGCCACAGCCCAACACTTTGTATATCGGTGGCAGTGTCTTATTGTCTGAATTAGCCTGGAACATTCGGAGGAAATATGAACAATAAGATCGTGAAAATGAAAAGTTCCATTGTAAATATTGCAGAGTCTCTGTGTGACTGTGTGTTTCCATTAAATTCCCTTCTGGATGTGGCCTCATGCTCTTTTCTCTCTGCTGAGTCTGGATGAATGCTGGCTTCAGGCTACAGCCGCTATGGTGCAAAGTACAGACTGAATAACAATGATGGGCTTTAGTGTGTATGATGTTCTCCTGTATATTAATCCTATTTGGCTCTTCATGAAAAATGGAGGAGTGATTTTTCTTCTTGGTTTTGACTTTCCTTCACTTTTAGTTTGTCTTTGGGGGCATTTTTCTTCATTTGGCAGAGTATTGTGTGTGAAGAAATGCTGCTTTGCAGCCATTTATCACACACTCTCACACAGAGAGACGGCCGTCTGAAGCCTTCAATAAGCTAATTCAGTCCTAAAGCATTTAACCAGAAAACAAAATCACCACCAAAGTCCTGCTTAGAATTCCTTCTGGCATTTGTTTGCTCACAATTATGATTAAGGATCACTTCAGGAGGTCAGTTTCAGTCCTGTCTCACACTCCATAAATCTTTTAAATAAAAAAGATAAAGTCCACGTTATTTTTCTTATCCTTTATCTCACCTGTACACACATATCTGATCCTGCAAATAGATGCAATCATCGTTAATGTTGGATATCTTTATATCCATCTTATTTGCTGGGAAACAATAGAAATGGGACTTCTGAACATTCTGAAGGCTCTCCGCCCCCAGCAGCAGTTTGTGTCCACTGTGTCCTGCCAATTTTAGGCAGGCTGTTGTGACTTTTGGCTGCATGAATGCAAAGCAGACGAGCTGAGTAAAAGTTGAGCTGATAAATTGGACTTTTTATCAGCGTTTGTAAGGGTAATGAGAATATATCATGGGAAATAACGCAGCTGCTTTCCGGCATCAGCTGAAGCAAACACAGATGGCGTTGTGCAGAGTATCAGCTCAGACACTCCACGAAAGTCCCACTTCACCATTTATTAACCACCTAAAACTGTTTTGTACACCTAGAAATTGCACATTTTTTGTTTGACGCAGCCCATTGTGTTTAGAAGGTGAAAAATAGCATGAAATAGCAAGTCTTTTCTCTCCTGGAACAAAGGAGTATCTATGAATACACCGATCTGTCCGACATCAGCAAATGACTGCCTGTTCTGTCTCATTTTCCTCTCCAATACTTTACCAGGTCCAGCTCTTTAAATGGACGGTAATTGATGATAAGTGCTCCCTTTTATTTAAACAAGGTTTCTGCAAGTCGATGTTAAAATCTGAATGTATTAGAAGCCAAAGCAACCCGTCCAGACCTGGTATGACAGACGCAGCTAACGGGGTTTAGAAGGAGCTTTTGGTCCTAACGGTTTCATCCTGACCACAGCTCTGGTGCCATTTATGGACCCGGGATGCAAATACCCAACAAGCCCTTTTTTATGATTCTAACTACAATGTGAAATCCAAAAGGTTGTGGTGGGAGAATGCCCTACCCGAGGTGTCTGACAGCTTGTAAGCTAATAAAAAGTTTTATTCAGCAGTTACACTGAAGTGATCATCCTTAAACTGCTAGAAAAAGTCAAACTGGATGAACTTCATGGAAAACCAATGTTGACTATATGGAATATTCATTTAGAGAAAAGATTAGTCAGTAAACATGGCTATATTTTATTATCATCTTTTCTCGGTCAGCCAGAGAACATTGATTTCCATTTCCCACCCATGTTCACCAGGTGGACTTTTAAACTGGAAAAAGAAGGTAATTTTATTATTTTAAATATTTTCAATTAGCATCAGGTGAATTTTGATGACAACATGCTGATTAAAAGTGAACGTTGAAGCAGTCACCCAGGTTTAAGTTGATCAGTTTTTCGGCTTCATGCACGGACCAGAACTGATCAGAAAACGCTCACGAAGAGAGAATTTGTAGTAATTATGGAGCCATCATTAGCTCATGTTCCACTAATAACTCTCCCAGCTGATTCATTAGTGGCTAATCACCGTCATCATCTGCTGCAGGAGAGGAACAATCCATGGCTTTAGTGTTTTTGTTGGGAATCTTCCTGTAGTCCTAACTGTGTGTGTGTGTGGGGGGGGGGGTAAACAGAAAAGCACAGTCACTTCTCCACACGGCGGACTGTCATGAACGCCTCGTGGACACGACCATCACCATGAAATTGTTCGATGCTCTCACGCATGCACGGCCCCAGACTTTTTAGCTGGGAGACTCTCTCCGTTTATCCCCATCAGCCGTCTGTTAATTAAAACAGACAAACACTGGGATGAGATTCAGGAAAACAGATTTGCTCTCTTCATCTGTTGATCTCTTGTCTCTCACACATTAATTCAACCATATGCAGGAGGAATTAGCACAGTGTGTGTTCTGGCGGGCTGACAGTGAAGTCAACACTCACACACCCGTATGTGTTACTGTACTTGTTAGCATTCATTATGGATGCGCTGCCTTCCCTCTACCAGCAGCCTGCTTTAAGCTTACGCCGAGTGCTAGGGCTGATGTCTGATAGCAGCACAGAGGCATCAATCATCAGTTTTACAGCCCGTGTCTCCAACTATCAGCGTCAACCTTTGTCTTCCCCGCCAGAGCAATTCTACTGAACCCGCTCTGATACTGACTTCCTGAATGATTTGGAGAAATCCACAAGTTGTTGCTTTACGCTAAAACTGATCAGAGTTTTGGTGAAGAATGTTAGCAGGATCTGGAAGCATCTGCTGTTGTAGAGAAGCACGTAGGTAGCATCAAAAAAGATGTGCTGCTAACAGTTTTTCTTTTCTTTTAAGCTGTTTTTTTAACCCAAGATCAAATGCTCTGTAGCTATTCTCTGTCCAAAGAATGATCCTCTGTGCCTTTAAGTTAAGGTTTAGTATTGGCTCAAGTTGTCTGGAACTTCAATAATTTGTGGATTTGGAGAAATCCACAGATTGTTGCTTTACGCTTAAACTGAACTGAGTTTTGGTGAAGAATGAGGTGAATCTCTGTCCTTGGAAGAGCAGAGAGAAGACGATCGGAGACTCGTGTGTCATGGAGGGTTGACTGAAAGCTGAGCTGACTTTCCACATGGTTCTGGACTGGTCTAGGTTTGAGTCGGCGTGAGTTCGGACAAAATGTTACATTGTGTTGTAGTTTGTATTCAGGCGTTTGGGATTTTTTTTTAGCAGGTTTAAGATTGTTTGACGTCTTGCCTGCATTCTTTTAACATGGTTTGTTTATTTGCTGGTTGGGACTTGTCTCTGAGAGCCCGGTTAGTCTCTGGCTTTCTGCTGTAATTTCACACCGATTCCATCAGGTGGTTCCACGTTTCTGTAAGCAGAATTTTTTTCTTATGGCTGACTATGGTCTGGATGCTTCCACTCATTGTGTGCTTTCGCCTTAACCATTTTTTCCCCTCACCAGCATGAATTCAACACTCTAGATCACACAGTTTATCTACAGAGCAAGCTTCACCTCATTTCCGGAACATCAAAGGATTCAGTGTCTATTTGAGTTTTCAGTGCAGTTCAGAATTGTGACTTTATTGACACATTCCCAGACACAAAGTCTTAATTTTAGAAAAACAAATCCAGTCGTTAAAACGAGTCCCCACTTCATCACAGTGTCACATCAATATCTCATGCGTCCTCCTGAGGACAGCACAGTTCACACACACTGTTGTGTGTTGGCCTGTATACATTTCTCTGCTCTGTTTTGGTTCAAAGTGGATAATTTATTACTGCAGTGCATTTTCGCATTGAGCTCATTACAATAGAAGGGCCCATAAATCATTTCCCTGTTTCCCTACCCTTCACTCTTCTATTTTTGCTTCCCCCCCTTCATTTCTCTACCTCCGGTTTTATGTTCAAATTCATGTTTGACTCAGGTTGACACTCGACTCTCCCCCTCTGTGGAGATGCTGCATATCTGGAAAGTCTCTTAAAGTTTTTGAAAGCCCGGGAAAGTCATGATCAGCCTGTCAGGAGTAATTCCGAGCTGTTTTTGAAGATTTGGTATATGTGAGGAATTATTGAATGCGTTCCCCAACTGCCGCAGCGTCGTAGTGAGTGTTTTTGTAAGACAAAGTTCAAATTGAGTTAAAAAAAAAGCTGCCTTACCGTCACGAAGGATTCCTGCACTCTGTCTGATCATCTGCAGCTTATTGTAACCCCTTTATTTATTTTTTAAACTCCTACTCTGCATATTCCCCTCACGATCCTCCAAAGAGGATCAGAGCAGTGACACAGAGTACAAATAAATGTAAATCAGACATTCTGTTACCCGTTTCTCCCCACAAAACCGGCTCAGCCCTGTGGAGGCAGGCGTGCAGACCTCCTGAGGTCTGCCCTGGCATCTGCCAGCGCCTCATCCGAGGCTCAGAGCCTTCAGGAACTCAAGCTTTAAGAGAAGTCCGCACGGCTCACAGCTTCACAATTTGAGAGTTGTGAACCTCAAACAGTGTGGCAGCCAGCTCCTCCGTCTTATACCGAGCTCATCGTGGAATAGAGATTCAGGGGTGTTTGGGTCTGCAGCAGTTTTAGGGTTGGTTTTACTGGAATGCTCAAATATCCTCCAGAGAACAACGCACCTGGAAAAAGACGTTCTTTAAAACTAAACCAGGAATTATTGCACACACCGACCTCACCCCACCGCTCACCGTGCTCAGGGGTCCAGACCTGTTGCTCTGGGCGCTTTAATCTCTGGACACGGGTCAGAATGGACAGCAGTGTGTATGAAGATAGCCCAATAATCTGCAGTCCTTCCTGTCAGAACATCGACTCACTCTGAGGCCTGGAAAAGCCCTCCTCCTTCTTCCCTGCGTCCCCACGCCCCAGCAGACCCCCACACTGCTCCTCTGGCCGTTGGAAGGTCCTTCCATCCTCCCGCTCCCCTGTAAGCCTTTTGAAATTTATCCTGACGGCTGCTCTGAATGAATCACATACTCCCACTGCAGAGGTGATAATGTAGTCCAAATTGGTGGCTGCTGCGTGTTCAGGTCACTGGAGCTGACCAGTCTAAGGAGAGTGGGCAGCCTCGGTAACTCCTGTTTTTAGAAATCTGTGGATATGCAAAGACATCTACCACTAAAGGATTGGTGGCTGCTTTAAATCAAATCGTTCCCATGCAAACAAAAGTCCTGCTCATTGATGCCTGTTTACAAATGGGAACTCCAGAGGTCCTCCCAGGATATCAGCAAAGCAGCTTTTTTTTTTTTTAAAGTAAAATGTTGACATTCAAGCTGATGATGAATGAAAAGCTCCGATGACATTTTTATTTAATTTTGAGATGTAAGATAAACAAGCTGATGGGAGCAGCCCCCAGAGCCCAGATGATGAACTGTGGTGTCTGTAGTGTTTCCCTTCTGACTTCTTTCATCAGCATCTGTGGCCGGCGCTGCCTTTAAACACCCCCCTCAGCCCAACACCGCCCCTCACTAAACCAAGTTAAGAAAGAAAACTTCTCACTTCCCTTTAAGACAATTTATTCCTGCAGAAACCTGTTCCGAGTAGGACACAATATTTGTATTGGGGGTTTGGGGTTGGGGGGTGTTTGTTAATGTAACATCTGTGGAACAACTTTTCTCAAATCTTTGGAGGAAACCGCGGAGAAAAACATTTCCTCCGACGCTTTATTAAGCCGTTTACCTTTGCCCTCCTCTGCCGCTGAAGGACAGGCGTTTGAATCAATAATCGTGTGTGAGAGGAATACCGTTCTGGCTAGCTGTGCGTGCACGTGTCTGGTTGTGTGTTCCTGCCTTCTTCTCATGTCTGCCGCTAATGAACAGCCCGTAAACAAACATCTTATGCTCTGTGTGTTTCTTTTCGTGTGCCTGTGTCTGTGTGCTGCTTATTAGTGAGGGTAGACGGTCCGTAAGCAGTGGGCAAACACACACACACACACACACACACAGGGATACATTAATAAGAAAACTTTGTGCTGAGCAGCTGTGATGATCAACAAAGGCTCATATCAGAGTGCCTCTCTGAGTGTGCTTATGTGGAAGCCGAACAGCTAATGTTGCTCTGGCACTATAATGTGTATCCTTATGTTTTCATCCATGAAATACATCATTCAGCCTCTTTTAAATCAACTAAGTACAGATCGGACCTCGGTGGACTTTGTATGCAATCAATTTTATCCACAGAGCATCAAATAAAAACAACTATATTCTTGAGGCACTTCAAAAATACAGTCCAATTCAAGTGAAATAAAATTCAATTAAAAATCCAATCAGTTGAAATTCGTTGAATTCCAGAAACTTCTATTAGGAGCCAGTTAAGAGGAAATTCTTGTGTTACAACTGCAACTATTCAAAGAGCAGCGAGGAGGGATACAAATCAATCAAATAACAAAACAAGCTAAAACTAAGATCATATATATATATCTGTGTGTGTGTGTGTGTATGTAGGTGAAATGTATACTAAACACTGGATTGAATTAGAAGGAGGTGGGGTTAATGTGATAGTTATTGCACATTTGCTGATTATTGCAGAGCTGATTTAAAAAGAATGGCACAGATCCTGCAGTAGGAGGTGTAACACACCGGGGGAGGAGCTGTGGAGCGAAGGTGAACAACCACAAAAAGAGCGGTCTGACATTTTAAAACTGCCCGAGGATGGAGAGGCACAGCCTTGGAGCCATCGACTTGACTCCACTTTAAAACTTCATTTCTGTTCTCACTCTGTTAAACTCGGGTCAAAGGTTAAAACACACCCAGCATGTTTGAAAAGTCTTAATCATAAAGCACACGGCGTTCTCTCTGCTCTCTTCCTACACAGATTAAGACATAGATTAGTCCTGGTTTAAATCAGGCACATCCTGTGGCTCAAAACTCTGCAGGCAGTTGTTATTCAATCACTGGTCACTGGTCTGGGGGGTCCCGCTGTTCTCTAGTACCTCAGTGCTCTGGTCAGGTTTCAGAAGTGGGCATCCTTACCCTTGTTGCCCTGGTTCTGTTCCCTACCCCGCAGCTGGCAGAGGAAGATTAATCAAACGGAAAGTTTGAGAGTTCGACGGCGTGCATTTGACATTCAGCCAGTCGGAGCTGATGATCCTGGAGTTGTGCTGGGTTCACAGATGTGTGGATGTAAACAGCGTTTGTGCCAAATGACAATCACGACTCATTTTGTGTTGGCTGTCACAGAGCGGCGAGGAGCTCCATCCAAACAGAGAGCGAAAATCAGATTCAGTCCCTCCGCTGAAGAGCAGGATGAATATTCATTAGTGCGGGGCAGACGGGAGGGAGGAGAGGAAGGAGACCACGATCAAAGGCACAGATCAGCTTTGTTCTCTCTGAGACAGCCAAACACAAAATGAAAATGGAGCAAAAAAGGTGAAGGAAGAAAAGAATGAAGGTGACGGGGAAATGAACAGAAAAGACAGCATTATGGCTCCATTTCCTTTTTGTCTTGGTGGGGATGAAGATAGATACACACAGTTAATTGCTCTTAGAAACCGTGATATACATCTATCCACGTTTTCATTTAAACCCCAGGGAAATAAAGCATAGCTCCTAAGTAGTCAAATGGACCATTTTCAGACCCTGCGTGCAGTTTGAAGAAAACTGATGGGACATCTGAAGTCCGTGTTGGCATTTAGCTTAAAACTTTTACCGCCTTGTCGTGTTACGATTCTCTCTTTCAATGCTGTAAACGATGGTGCCTGGAGAATGCATGTGTCCCAGGAACAGGGGTGTCCATGAAGGCAGCATATTTCTCATTGAATCTTTCTGCAATAATCACTGAGGTGGAGATGAGCTCCCCCCCCCCCATCCCATCACAGAGCCTGTCTTTGGGCCCATCAGGCTTCATTCCGTTCTGGAGAGGCTGGAGGACGTTTGTTTAATTTAGGGAGTCTTCAGTAAATTCAGTAGTCTTGAAGTTTAAAAGGTCAGAATCGTTGCTGTAAATATATACAAAGACAAAAAGTCTTTCTTCATTAATGAGCTAATTAATTTAACTGGGAGGAATCTGATAACACAGGAGGACTCCATTGTGGAGCAGATAATTAGACTTAGTTGTGCCCTGCTGTTTGATTTGGCATATTAATGAGGTAAAAGTCTTTCTAAACCTCTGTTAACTTCATTCATTGTTAATAAGCAATGAGTTGAGCGAGGTAAGAACAACACTGATGCAGGAGGCCCATGCTGCTAGCAAGAGTCTAAAGTCTCTATCAGAACACAGGGTGTGTGATCCACAAACAGCAATGGTTTAACCCAAATTCAGAGACTACCAAACTACAACTGAGTCCACTGTTGGCTAAAATCCAAAAGCCTTGGTGAGAATTTAACATTTAGCATGCAGGGTTTATAAAGCAGCAATTAGATGACAGTGGTAAAAGCCTCATCAAAGGAAAAGGACTGGGCAAACCCCTGTCCTGCATGTGTGGAGCCATGGCAACCCATGTCAGCTTCCCCAGCAGACATGGCTGACCCATCGGAGGCGTTTTCATCTTTTAATGAGGCTGAAACCGAAGGAGAGCCGACAAAGGATTTAATGAAGACAAATGTGTCAGAAAAAATACCGAATTTGTCATTTTTAATTACCAGAGAAACTGCGGCGGATTAGCTCTTTTCATTGAGCCTGTCACCGGAAAACCAAAATCTCTCCAGTGTAAAATTAATTCTATTTTCCTATTTGAAAGGAAGCTTGAGCAAACTGAAAAGTTACTGACCCACTTCGAGCATTAACAAGCTGCATAAAAAGCGAAATCCTTTCAAGGCTGGAGAACAAAAATCAAATGTAAACTGTCATGTTTAATTGAATAGCAGCTAGGCAGCCGTTTGTGTAACGGGGAAGAAAATCAAAGTGCAGAAAACTGATTGTATTACATAGTTTGGGCTTTGATCATCGGAACACCTTTGAATGAAAGTTTAAAGGAGAAACCAGGAGAAAGCGGGCAGCCTGATCCGGACGTGAGGTTTTGTCTGAATCCCTCCATCTTCTGCCTCTCCTTTATCAGCCGTCCCCCTGGAGCCCGGGTGAGGACTTAATGCAGGGATTAGCATGCAGGCCTTTCATTATATACTATTAGTGTTTTGAGGCGAAGAATTGTTGGAGGTGTTTGGTTTAATCAGGCCGGTATTCAGCCTCGATGTCCCAACGTTGCTGTGATTTGGGAAAAGATGCCACTTCATCAGCCGGCTCTCTATGAATCGTCAAGTCAGTGAAGAGTGACCTCCCCTATTAACGCCGTTCATAAATCAGTCCATAAATCTGCAGCTAATGTATCCTTTATGATTTGGGCTTTTTAATTAAAACTTATTTGGCTGCTTTCAGCTCCACTGCTCATTACAGCAGCAGTTCATGGGAGGCGATGATGATAGGATAATGGGCTGAGTAAATCCATTGATGTAATAATGACTGAGCAGGATTACACTCTGTGACAAAGACAAATTGCTCTCGGCCATCCAGCCTTATTCCCAGCCTTTGAATATATCGGGGTGGAGTGCCATTGTAATCGGCATTAAAGAGTGACACACAGCTGTGTGTTGTAAAATGTGTTCAGTACCAAGAAAAGCAGTCCAGGTTTTCTTCTTTGAAAGCTCTTAGGGGCACAGAATCTAAACCAAACACAGCCAAAGCCTGAAGTGGAACCCAAGGTGCGGCTCCATGGGCCGCCCATAAATCCTCTAAGTAAGCAGCCATGTTAGGTGTCGGGAAGGAGGCTTCTCTTTCCAAGAGCCCCTGTAAGGAGGCTGGGGAGCTCTACCTCTGCTCTGGCAGGTCTTCAGCAGTCCTAACGTAGCCCAAAAGACATGAGCCTGGGTCTAAGCTCCTGTACAGCGGGTTAAGTGAGGTGAAGCCAAAATTAGAGATCTGCACTTGGATTGAGATCCCACCGGTCTTCTGGGACCTAATGCTAATCACTCTAGGACAGTTAGTTTGAACAAATGCACAGCTCGCTACAAGAGAAAATTCCCATCATCTGATCAGTGCAGTGGTGGTCTCTGTGAAATTATTTTAATTCATTAGTCTTAATAGATCCAGTTCTGTGGCCGTAAAGGATCGTGATGAAGAATCCCAACCTTTGGGTGACTTCATCTCTATTTACCCAAATTCCACACTGACCAACTGGTGTAGCAGTGGCAATAATGACGGCAACCATTAAAACCGAGGAGGAGAATCTCTCTGGGAACGGATCAGCTGCACAATTAATGTTATTGTGAGTCTTTTACCTCTAACTCAAGACTGCTGTTAACTCCATATTTAACCCTTACATGTAAAGCAGAGCTGTTTAGTTGATCCCCGACCTCCTGCCAGGACTATATTCTCTCGACATGCACACACATCCTGCTTGTTGCTCATGGACCTCTCCAGACTGAAACGAGCAAAACGCAGGGTGTGTGGGTGTGGAAATGAAAAAAGCCTGCCTGTATGAATATATCTGAATTATGTTGACCCGTTGTGGTCCCCTTTAACAATGAAACACTCCTAATCCAGGATCTGGTTTACAGCTGCCTGCTGTTTGCTTACAACAGTTTTTACCGTATAGAAATATATTCATGGGCCAACTAAAGGTCATTTTGTCAAACTTTTCCAAAGTAGTGTAATTATTAGTTATTTGAATGTGTAATTTGGTGCTTTCAACTGACACTCATAATTACAGACCTGGAACTGTGCATTACTAGAAGCTTGTTACCTCTCTGTGCACACACTGGATGCGTTTGGTGGCTGTGGTTCTGCCTCAGGGAGTCTAGCCAGGCAGCATCTAAGTGGACAGTCTGCCAGCTCCCACTGGGTGGTCAGTTTGAATCCCTTCCCAGACACAAACACAGCTTTTCCAGATGGAGAGAAAAGGTGTGAATGCATTGATCTTAAGCCAGCTCATGATTAGATTAGATGGTTGATAAGTAGAAAATATCACATTACATCTCATTTTTCTGGGTCTTTACCTGCAAACAGTTCCACAAACTGACGTAAAGAAATACAGAATGTAAGGACACGTAGCAAACACAAAAAGAGCTGATATGAAAAGCTGCAGAACTCTCACAAATAGACAAATAGACCTCACAATAGAGGGGTTTGCAGCTATCGAAGTGGATGTTTCTTTTTTTTGGTGTAAAGAATACCAACCAAAAAATCTATAAGAAAAGGGAATGAATCAACAGCGTTCTGTGTTCAAACATGTAAACAATCAGTCAACATGGTTTCTGTCCAGACTTCTTCATGACCAGCACCTCCACCATGTGTTGGTTTTGTTTTTTTTTGTGTTTTTTTTCAGAATTTTATTTGGCCGGTGCAGCTGCTGGTCTGAGACCTGTGATTAAACCTGCTTCACTTTCAGGGAAAAGGATCCAGGCAGTAAAACGGAAGCTGGTCTCTTCCAAACATGAACAGAAGAATAGGATGGCGAGCTGGTAAAAGTGCAGTGTCCCTCAGTGGCTGTGGAGGCTTTATTGGGCTTTAAAGAATTATTCACAGACACTCTTTTTTTTTTTTTTTCAAGACCGTCGTCTGTCTTTGGTGCACCGGTGGGTTTAAAGGGAACATTCAGACTCTGAGACAGAGCTGATGGGTTTTGTTCAGGCTGTGTTGCCAGTTGAAGATGATCATTTAATTATGTGTAAATTGACTGAAATATGCTGATCTCAGCTAACGGCACATCATTGTTTACTATGATGTTGAAACACTAACTTTAAAAAAAAAAGGCAACATCTGTGAAATTGAAAAAGTTTTGAACACAGGCAAAGTTCTGGCTAAAAAAATCTTCTGGCTTAGATAAAGTTTTTCCTCTTTATCTGAGCCTATTTTCACCTAATAGCTCTTTGGGAAGCCCTTGTTTCTGCCTGTCAAACTGTTTTCTTGTGTATCTTAACAGACACAATGGGAAGTTAAACTTGTCTGCATCATGAAACCGTAACACGTCTTTTTCTCCCCGTGTCTTTCAGTGGTTCGGGGATCTGGTGACTCCCGTCTGGTGGGAGGACGTCTGGTTGAAAGAAGGTTTCGCTCATTTCTTCGAGTACGTCGGGACTGACTTCCTTTTCCCGAAGTGGAATATGGTGAGTAGAAAAAGATTCATGGGGGAGCTTTTGAATAAGGGTCTAAAAGGAACAACTCATCAAGACTGATTTGAAGCCTTATTTCCAGTTTTTATCTACTAATCAAAGGAACATTTTGCGACCTTTTTGAGTTCCTTTTACCCTAAAAATAAAGCCAGAAGGCATGGATAATCCCTAACTAATTCTGGGCCTGCCCCTTTGGCACATTCCAGTTGGGCTTGTCCTTACAAACCTGCAAAAGAAGGCGATCAGAAGGCATCGTGCTTAGATGCCCCAGACCAACCAAAATTGGGATTCTGTCGATTTTCCCCACGTTTTATTCAGCTTCAGGCCTCTGAGAAGCCCGCCCAGAATCCGGTTTGAATAAAGCGTGCACGCACTGCCTCCGGGGCCAAAGTGCGCCGCAGTCGGACGTGAAATAACCAAACAGTTGTTGATGAATGACCGGCGTCTCTCCAGCCCTTTTGACATGCAGGAAATGAGGCTTTCAGGTCAGCATAAAGTGCTTTCAGGCGCGCTGCTCACTCAATGCTTTTGACCCGCCCTCTGCTAATGGCTTTAGGTGAGTCAGAGTTTCAGGTGAGGGCTCAGCCTGGTTAGTAACCCAACCGCCGTGTCCAGAAAAACCTATTAACCTGCGTGATTTTGCTATTTTAAACCAGATAACCCAATAACCTTTAACGATTTAAGTGAGCTGTATTTTACTACCTACTTTACTGCCACTAAATCACTTTTATTATTGCAGATTGTGTTGCCACAAATCGGATTTTACAATCCAAGGCAGAAAAGCGGACATTTTAGGATGAAAGAACGGTTTTTCCCTGCAGATTTGTCTGCTGCTTTTCCTCTGTGCCGGTTCAGGCTTTACATAACATATCATACATATGGATATTGATCACATGTTCGAGAACAAAGTTAAAACTGGCTGCTGAGGAGGTGGAAGTCCTGACTCTGCGCTCTCCTTCTGAACTCTTCCACCTCCATCCTCTCGCACGGATCAATATCTGGTTACATCTTCTGTGAAACTGTGATCCTGTTGTTCAGGAGATAACACTCAGCTCTGAATCTGCTGCTGGTTTATATGATTCTGCTCAGGATGGAGTGAATTGGCTCAAAAGGCAACGAAATTAGACGCAAACCAAAAGCCCCCCCTCCTCCTCCTCCCGGTAGCACGACCTCAGCCAGAAGTTCTCCAACAAACGGTGAACGCGGCAGAACTTTAAATTACAGCAAACTGACTCCTTTGTTTCCGCTGAGGAACATTATTTACCTCGAACAGCGATTGTGTTTCGGTGAAACTCCTTATCTTCTGCGCACACACAGTCAGCGCCGGAGCGGCGTGGCATTTTTAAATCCCCGTTCCTCTAGTTCCACACAGCCAGCCTTTTTAATGGAAACAAGTGTGTCTCCAATAACGGGCACAACAATGATAAAGCCGGCCGTCGGTGATAAAATAATTTCTTCTTAATGCGGGTTTTTGTTTTTTTAATAAGCGCTTTCTGTCAGCAGTGAGTCAGTGTTGAGGAGGCTGAGGCCAAAACACAACACAAGAGTGAAGGAAAGACACGAAAATAGCCCAAAGAATAGAATACTATGGTAGATTGCTTCTGAGTTGGTGAATTAACCACTAGCCCAATAAGTTTCTATTATTTTTCTTCTTGGTGTTTAGTTGTTTTCACACCAAGACGGCTGTGTGTTTGCTGCTTTAACAGACAGACTGAAGTGGAGGGAAACATTTCAGACAGTCGGTACAAACTAAGGTTAGCTAGTCCACAGAGACTTTCTGGCCTGGGAATCTCGGACATCCGGCGGGAAAAAACCTGCAAAGTTGTCAAAATCAGAGAACAACATCAAGCCCATTATTAGCTGATTCCTCTGCTCATTTCCCCAAAAATAACTCCACAGAGCTGGTGATTAAAAGGGCCAACAACAGGTTTCAGTTTGGAAAAAACACAGCAGGATTAACATGTGCTAAAGAAAATGGTAAAACTGAAAAAAAGGCACCATAAAAACAGTCAAAAGAATCTTTAGCAGATGACTGTGAAGCAGCTGGGTTGTAATCTTATGTGTGAAGCCTGATTAAAGTCTTTTCCCGTAATCGTGTGTGCCTAAAAGTTAATTTCTCCTCTCATGGGATCTGCCCACCTAATTATTTTTTTAAGAGCAGTTACTCTTAGTTTGTACAAGTGGGGTAATAGCCTGCTTCACCCATATTCAAATAGAAAACATATTTTAAAACACGAGAACAGACTTTTAATAAAGGGGTCTGTACACCAGCTTAATTCTAAAAAAAATAGATCCGGTGTTTGTTCTGAAAGCTTCAGTTTATCTGAAATAAAACTGCAGTATTTCACGTATGTACCTCCACTTAAAACATAAATCTTGCATAAAAATCCCTTTCACTAGATTTAAATTTGATAAAAGCATATAAAGCTTTGTCATTAATCATGCGGAAATTAACTCGACAATGTAAAAAAAAAAGGTTGATTCATAGTTTGTCAGCTGGAACTGAATTTTATAGCATGTTATTCCAGGTTGTTAAGCAGCACACGCCAGCGGACTGGCTTATCCCGGGGCTGGCTCTGAGAGCACAGCTGCAGCTGTCAGCATGGGCTGTCTCCACCATGACTAAGCCACTTCCTGCCATCTGCCAATCAAATGGCTTCAAGAGGAAATCGCAGGTCGGCGATGTAGGCAAACATTCTCAGTACTTAAAGGAAGATGATGAGCTCGGATTCTAGCTCTCGAGCTCTGTGTTCAGAGAACTGTAAAGTGAGCTTGCACTTATCAGAATGGATCCGAACTGATGTCGGAGCAGCAATAATTGAATTAATACAGTCAACGTAAAACCTAGCAATTAAAATCTATTATTCTTTTCTCTCACAATGTATCAAGAAGTGCTGTGCATTGTAGTATTAGGAAAAAGTCAAAACTAGAAGAAGGTAAATAAAAAAAGACAGTAAAAGCCCTCAGTCTGAGCTGGATTTACATCCACTGCTCCGGCATGTCAAAGCTAATGAAGCCACTGTGGACACCATCATTTACCGTGATGGAAGTCATAAAACATACACATTTACCAAGTCGTCTCTGTTAAGATTCACGGACACGTATAGTGCAAAGAGCCGTCCAGCAGAGATGGGAAGCTTTGTAGCATCAAGGGGCCTCAAATCAGCCAAAAGCTGCGCTTTCTTCAGAATATTTGCTTTTATGACTGAAAAAAAAGATTAATTCAAGCAAAGTGCGCCACAAAGAAAACTGGGTAGTTTCAATTGGTCCACAGCTGTGAGTTCAAATTAGAATTTAAGTTCAGTGGATTTATTCTAAAGCACAACAACAAACATAATAGTTAGTGGCATGTTCTGGGCTCACTGATACTTTTTTCCTTTTCCTGGTCCAGCACAACAAAACAGCCAGCAGGTTCTGTTTGTCTGAGCTTTATTCACATAAAACAACAGATTAGATGTCAATGCTAAGCCCGCGTGAAACTAACAGGCCTCCGATCAAAAATATGAAACATTCATGTTGGAGAACAAGCCAGTCGATATTCATCGCCTCTCTGCCCTTTGAAACGGAGGCTGAGACTGAGAGCACGGAGCATTTTTCTTCGGTTTTACTTGCACCTCTTCCACCAGTGGGGCCATTGATCCCTGCGTGCGTCACACAATGTCACAAACACAGTCACCTGGGAGGAGAAAAAATAGCTGCTTCTGGCCAATCCAATAGGTTCAATATCTCAAGAATATTTGTTTGTGCAGCCTGATGAATTTAGTTTTTGTTTTACAGTGAGCACAGGGCTTCGGTGCTTTGCCGGGGAATGTAAACAGCTTTTAGACCTTCTCTTGTTTTTCTGACATTTGCACCACTCAGCTTGTAAAACGATGAGATCTCAGTGATTGTGCTGTTGGCTTATACCTGATAATGTGCTGTTATTACCATCCATCTTCAGGTAAGCAGCAGGAGCTGTTTGAGTGTCTTTGAACCCCTCATTAGGCCCCTGATGACCGTGTCTGACTGCACGCTGCAGCTTCTTCTGGTCTCTCTCACAAGTCTAGACTTAGAAATAAAAAAAGAATTTATAAATGATCTTTTCCAGGTTAATGTCCTGCGAATGTGTATATCTCCTAGTTTTTAAACTTGGAACGTTACACAGGTTCTTATTTTTCATGATCTGCTAAGCGTCAACAGGATCTCCTCCTCCTCCTCCTTCCTCATGCAGCCAGAATGCTGCGACTGCTACTATGACAGCCCTCAAGGGTGAAAGAAGACGTTGTTCAGCACAAAACCTGACTGAGGATGCTGCTCCATCAGGTCACTGTGATAATACAGCAATTAGACTATTTTAGGAATCATGGGGACAGTTCTGAGGCCTGCCACCAGTAGTAACACAACGAAATAACAATACATCAAATGATTTGAGGGATTTTTTTAATTAAAAAAGACGGAAAAAACACAACTTTTCTCAAGTTGAAATAAAAAAACAATAACCTGGGTAAGAAATCAAATTCAGTACCTCTTGCAGACTCTTTAAGGAAATGACTAACACAACCCTAAAACTCTGGAGAAATTCCGTGTGACATCTACGAGCAGGAGGGCTGCACAGGGACGTGCTGGTTAGATCCCATCACAGTCGGAACACTAGGACCCAAACTCCAGGCAAAGGATATCCAAAAATCACAGTCGGAAGCATTCAGAAAACAGTCGGTACACGGGCAGGCAAAAAGGCTCAGGCAGAAGGACAAAAACGGTAGTCACAAACGGTTGGCAAAGCTCAGGATGAATAGGCAATGACGAACGCCTGAAAGACTGACAAAAATGACGAGCACAAACACACAAAGAACAACAGACAGGATGGAGTACATGTGCAAGACAGGGGAGGAGACGCTGAGAGGCAGGTGGAGGTTATTAGGGAGGAGTCAGGTGATCAGAACAAAAGGGAGGAAGTGGAACAGCAACAACGGGACCAGAAAAACAAAAAAGGAAACCGAACACAGACATGTCAACCCATGACAGCTCAACTCCCCAGTCTGGCCCCCATGTGTGTGGGTGTTCATCTGTGTGTGAATTAAAGGTTTCATAAGAGACCAGTCAGTGTGAGCAGTCGTCCTCACGTTTAAACGATTCCAAAATGGGGAGGAGGACAGGAACTGGATGGAGAACAGGTGGAGAGGAGGACTGACACGGTGATGGAAGATGGAGGCAGGCGTAGGCTCCAGAGTTCAGCAGCTGCTGCCATACGCAGCCCTGACCCTGCATCTGTGTGTCTGTGCTCGAAAAGTTCCTCCTCATGCGGGCCCATCTGGTTAGGACCCACCAGATGGACGCCCTCTCCTCTGTACAGGTGATTTAGAGTCTCTCTTCATTAGAGCTGATGTCTCATTCAGTCAGGTTTTTTTTCCCTCTTCCTCCCCAATTTAGTTCACTCGAATGCTTCATTTGACTGCTTTACATATTTGAGATGGAGCTCCACCTACCTGTTTATACATACATGACAAAAGCAGTGCTTTATAGCAGTCGTATGCCAGATCTCTGCCTAAACAACAATCCATTCATGAATCAGCCTCTTTTTCCACCCACAAGTCACCTACAGTTTCTGTAAGCCAGAATGATCAATCACCACAATGATAATTAGATTTTTATACACTGACATGCATACGTGTGTGTGTGTAAATCATTCAAATTAAGACAAAATGTTAATTACTTCATCTGAATTACAGAACTCGACTAATCACGCTGGAAAACTTTTTGAGGATTTCAAAATTATTTAGCTGCAGAATGAAGATGTAAAAAATCGAGCACTGACAGCAATTTACCAGGAATTAGTCATATCCTAATCATAATTGAACGGATGTCTGTTGGTTTGTTGATTCCTGATTACAAGATATGTATATTTTAAAACACTTGTTTTAAATATTGCATGTTCGTTAAACCACAGCTCTTTAATCCATAAATTACACAAGCCACATTGGGCCAAGAATTAGACTCATCCCTGCTGATACTGGTAATTTTTTTTAAGAAAAGGCTCCTGTTCATTCTGTTCATTAACAACTAAAACTTAATAAGCCAACAATTCCATTGCTTAACAAGATGGAGGTTCATTAAAACCAAATCTCCACAGTAAACACTGTAATCCACGAATTAGACAGAGCCTCCCTTCTCCGGATTTAGCCTGATCCCTGGGGTAATTTAGATTTAACTTGTTAATGCTCAGCATATTTGCAGATGTCTATTAAAGATCTGAAACCAGGGGAGCAGAGGAGGAAATTAGGAAAAGGAATAATGGAACAAGATAAAGAGCAGAATAACAGAAGATGAGAAGAACAGAAGGATCGAGGATCACATTTGAAATTAAATGCTGCTCAGAGATGAAGGAAAACAAAAAAAAGCCCGATGGTCAGTAAAGATTAGGGGAAACGCAGGAAGGGATTGTTCAGGGAAAGTGTTCACAAAATTGGGATTGGGGAAAAAGAAAAGAGCTGGCGTGAACGAGAAGAGATTAGCTCCACTAATCCACAGCCAAACCTTCATCTGCTGAACTAATTGCCCAGCTAATCCTTTTCAGGGAAGTCTCCTGTTTTCACCTTTTTCAGTGTGACCAGAGGGTCAAGCTTCTGATGGATGTGGATGTTCTGTCACAAACCGCGATATGAGCATCCAGCAGGAGTCTCCGGTGGAGGGGTCAGCTGAGAGCCCAAACCTCAGTCCAGTGTTGTGACCAGTGTTCTGCCTGGTTTCAGGAGAAGCAGCGCTTCCTGACGGACGTCCTGCACGAGGTGATGCTGCTGGACGGCCTGAGCTCCTCCCATCCCATCTCCCAGGAGGTGGAAAAGGCCACCGACATCGACAGAGTCTTCGACTGGATTGCCTACAAAAAGGTTGGTCGCAAACAACGAGTTTGACGTGACGTGTCCATAAGAAAACATCAGGAATCAGAAACCAGAAGCAGCCCACCTCTCTTTGACCCCCAGCGCTTCCACTGTAGTGCTATGGGAAAAGTTTGATCCGGGGGCTTCAAACTCGACCTGCGGCCGTAGGAGTTGTCCGGCAGCATCATCAGGGTAAAGGCCGGGTCCTGATGATGCTGGCTGGTAGAAGCCCGGCCTCAGTACTGTTAGAAACACTGAATGGTGCGTGGGTAGCTCCTAGGTGAGTCTGCAGATGAGGTCGGCTGTTGTGTTTAAAGTCCACAGACAGTGTGGCTTTATATGTCAAATTGTCATTCGGGGGTTTCCTCCATTTTTGTAACGATTTATCCGATCTTATTAGATTAATAATAATGTAATTCTGCGCACGCCCTGCAGAATCACCGGGCAAAGTACTTCTAACATCAGATATGTCACGTCTGGGGGAATGTCTGGTGTCTCGTCTTGATTACCTATTGTGTACACCTGGGGCTCCCCTCCCTCATGTGTTTAAATAGTCCTCGTTTCCCCTTGTCTGGCGCGAGTGCGTTTTCGTCTTTCGTCTTTTGTCCGTCGTCTCCCCCACGCCAGGTTTGTTTTGCCATAGTCTTTGTTTTCGTCATAGTTCTGCCATAGTCACAGTTTTGCCACAGTTTTGTCAATCGTTATTTTGTTACTTTACCCAGCCTTGTTTGCTCATTGCTTTGTTACTTTGATCACAGTTTTCCACAGCTTTGCTTTGTACTTTGTCTGGACATTCACTCTGTTTTTTTGTGCAATAAACCTTGTTCCCCTCATTCCGCGACTGAGTCCTCCCTCAAGACCCACCGCACATGACAAGATATTCTCTATCCGTCTGTACAAGTTCTGAAGTACTTTAAGGCTGATGTTTGCATTCACATGCAGACACAAAGGGACTTTTTGTTCGATGTGGACCTATGGACTGCTGGACAATTCCTGTTTTATTTCCTTTAACCAACACCAGTTAGATTGACTTTAGATTTTCTTTTCTCTAAGGGTTGTCCCCTAACGATCAAACCACTCAGGTAGCTTAAAACAAGCTACTTGAACCTTGTTACTATCTGTCTTAGTCGGGTACCGGGGGGGTGGAGCCTGTCCCGGCTGACACTGGGCTACAGGTGTGGCTCCGCTCTTTACTGTAGCAGCAGGGCTCAGCTTTTCCCGGCCCTGTTTGAGCCTGCTTGCCTGTGCTGTCTGCAGGGCGCGGCGCTGATCCGGATGCTGGCTAACGTGATGGGACAGCCGCTGTTCCAGAAAGGACTCAACGTAAGTACACCTTGAGAGGTTTTTACACCTGTGGGGAACGCTGGGTTTTGGCTTTAACGTGTCTGTATGAGATTTGTCGCCAGCACACCTAAGGGATGTCAGCGGATGTATGTGAATACTTAAAAAGGCTTATTGGTAACTCTGGCTGGGCCTTGATAAGTTGACTAAGCAGCAGTGAGAGGTTTTTCTGATAGATTCTGATTTATACGCTAACAGTAAAATAAGCTGCGGACTGGCTAAAACTTTAGCAGTCAAAATTCTGCAAGTTTAGCGCGGCTTTATTTCACAAACCAGAACCCCAAACCAAAGCCTTTGCAAATATCTCTAACTCATGGTGACAGAAACGGGCAGGAAGTTTACTATGAACAAATCTTGTGTTATTGCAATCAATGTGGAAGCAATAATCCCTGATCCAATGTGGCCACCATGACAGGTTCCTTCCACACATGATGTTTAACAAACCCTTTCTAATGCCAGTGTTGTGCTTTCTGCCTTCTGACAGTTATTTATGTTGGTTATGACAAGCTCCGTCAGTGTTGTAAATGTACTGCCGGGCCTAAGTCCCGCTTAGCCTTAGAGATGACATGAATGGCTTTTATAAAGGTGGGGACAGCTGAAGTCTTCTGTGGCAAAGCTGACACAATCCATGCTCAAATCTCTTTTCTCTAGCTCTATGTCCTTCTGGATTTGCCTAATAAATAATATTCAGTACTAGAAAAGTAGCTGTGCCAAATCCATGACTAGATTTATTCAGATTGGTCTCAGTCACTGTGACGGGACAGCCTTTTTTGGACAGGTATACAGGACACCGACAGGGGAGAAAAAAGATGGAGACAAAGCCAAAACACAAGCCACACCAATCCTGAGAGAAAGGAGCTTATGAAGAAACTCCTACCCTACATTAAAACTACCAATTTTCAGAGCTATTTAAGACAAAACGGCAAACCTGGGTCTGTGACTAGGTTGTGTGTGGCTAAACTACATCTTTTTAAAGTTCCAGTACTGATAGGACTTACAGGCCTTATTACAGCAGCAGAACCTCCTTTACACTGTGAAGGTTTAGCCGTGTATTGATGTTCTTATCAAACCACACAGCCTGTCTCCCTCCGCCTCAGGCCTCTTGTTTTTATTGTGCCGGATGGCTGCTTGTCTGTTTTCATGCACGTGAATGATTTTTGGAGTGAGCATGGTCCCGGCCATTCAGCCCCACAATAAGGCATGTCTTAGCTTCAGTAACAAACTAGCTGCAAAAGAAGGGGCATGCTCTGAGTTTAGGTGGTTATAGACAGCTAAATTTAGGCTCCATGTGGGATTTCACTTTTGGTTTTAGATGAGCTCGCCTTGGACTATTCTGCTCTGGTTGTTTTTTGTTTTTGGTTTTACCGTTGCTCCTCTAACTTTTTCCAAAACAACTTGAAGATTAATGCATCTGGGGCAGTGCTCTCTATCTTATGGGGAAATACTGGGTGAGATACTTCTATTTATGAACTTGGGAATTATAGAATTGATCCATCCAAATTCCAGCTGGAGGATGGGGCTTTTAGCTATTCATTTACAGCCGTTCCTTCTCTACTGTGAAGATGTGATTGGTGGAGTTGTCTTTCTGGATCACTTCTCCATCCATCAGAGAATTCTGAATCCCTTTCCTACCTTTCATGGGATGGTTGTTTGCTGTTTATCTGAAGCACATTAGCCGCTGAAGCAAAATGCGTAGAAACCCGTTTCTGGTCCTCTTTAAATGGATGCAGAAACATTTTCTTTTGTTTTCCTTCTCTTATATGCAAGCTAATGTGAGCTAGTGTGGGCCTTCTGAATGATGTTATAAACAAAGTGTTTAAACCTTTTTTTTTTTTTTTTACACTATTGTATTTTATGAGCTCACAAAATTCTGGTCAAAATTGGTCACTGGACACAGTGTAAAACACAAAAGCTGTTTTAATGGCAGTGTGTGTTACATTGTTTGCTGTATGGAGCTCCAGACTGTTTTGTTCTAGTTTAATAATTCATGTTAATGTGCGAACAACACACAAACTTAGTTTACATTTCATTCACAAAACTGGGAGAAATCTGTTTAGCGTCACTGTTGTGTGATGCGCTGTGAAAGTGGGTTAAACTTCTTTTTGTTCTAAATAGACACAGAATATGCATAACTCCCCTTCACACACATACAGACACAAGATGCCCTGATTTCTCTGCAAAAACTCTCACTGACCTGGAACATACTGAATGCAAGCTTCTAAATAAAACTCTGCTGATCCAGCTGTATTACCAGGAGAAAACAACGTATGCGCGCGCGTGTGTGTGTGTGTGTGTGTGTGTCACTGGTCAATATGCAACACGCTGAATGTTACATCACTTAAAAAGACAATTATATTTAGACACCAGCTAAATAAAACTCTATTCTCAGTAGTTTGATTTGCAAACCTCATTGTGAGAGCCTCTAATCGATATTGAAACCAGATTAGGATTTATTAAATTAGGAATGCAAAGAGCAACTTCAACACCCCAGAGCTTTCGCATGTGTGTGCATTCTCTTCACTGGCTCCTTCACTTGTGCCTGCTCCTGAGTCACTTTACGCAAGACTGAATGTCAATGAATCACCTTCCCTTTGCTCTGACAGGCCAGATGTTGGATGCTCTGCATGAGGTTTTTCATCAGTGTAAAAAAGCTTTAGAGCCACGCAGACAACTGCCAAGAGAGGAAAATCACCCAAATAAACTAAAAGATCTCCAAGGACTCATTCTTCCCAGGCACGGCTGACATAGTTGAACGGTTTAAGTGTGAATTTACTGTCTCAATAAACGACCACAAAGACACACCGACTGACTCAAAAGCAAAACAGAAACAATAGAGAACACCCAACCCACACATTATTTTCAAAAGACGGAACAAAACAGAAAATGTAAAAATGGCCATTCAGGGACCCTAAATAACTACAAACATAAGCAGACAAATCATCCCTCAACATTTCAATGCCCAGTATGAGAATTTAAACAGACTAAAAAGAGTCAGGAAGCTATCCAATAGACTCAGAAGGCAGACGCACCAGGATATGCAAATGATGCAAAAACGATTCCTGATAGCCGATTTTTCTCCGATTATCAGAAGTTTTTACCCCGAGGCGCATCAGCCATGGATCCTCAGCCATCAGCCCAGCTCACGTGCACTGCTGCCCGTGCACGCACACTATACCACAGCTTCAGTCTGCCCTTAATTACCTCCAGAAAGAGTCCTGCGGCAGACACTGGATGTCGATAATTGTCCACGTTCTCTGTGTCCGGTTTCAAAGGCTCCGTCAAATCTCTGAGTTTCTCAGACCCGTGTGATCATGTGATCAGAGGCTGGCTATCGGCAGCTCTCATCAACGCCTGTCGATATTTGACGGAACAGATGTAAAAAAACAGGCCAATCTGACGGGCACCTTTTGACGGCGAGGATACAAAACCTCATTAACGGATTAGATCTGAGCCTCCAACCCCAAAAGTGTGTCACCCATTCTCTCACGTTTGCTCTCGACAGGTTTCCCCCAGCGCAGCTCTAACGGCCCATTCCCCTGTTTGTGGCAGAATGCTTGTTATCACCAAAAGCCATTTGATTTTAATTGTATCGTGCTGTTACATCTGCTCGAGTCGGGATCGGGATCAGACTCCCCGTGTGTGTCGGCTGTGTTTTTCTGTCACTGTTCTTGTCAGCTTTGGTGAAGGTGACGGGAGCTATCGTGTGTCATCTTGTTCCAATAAAGAGTTCCTCTTGCCTTATCAAGTCCCATTTACACTGTGACAAATGACAGAGAAGCTGGAGGTGGAGCTCCGTCTCTGCTGGAGTTGGCTGTTATCTCATCGTACTTCCTGCCTCTTCCTTGTGTGATTATAGACTCAACCAGCCATCCACGATCCGAAGCTTTTATCACTTCCAATCCACGGCAGAGTTGTTATCTTTAGGTGTTGAAGGCAGACGGGGCCCAAAGCAGACACAACAGCAACGAAATACACGAGGAAGACAAACTTCCTTCAGAACATTCAGACTTTATTCATTAACTTAGAAAATATGAAAGCAAGTGTTTTGAATAGCCTAAAACCTCTTAGACTCAACACATTCTGATCCCACTGAGCCGTGTCTCGGCTTCACATGTCACTGATATAAAACATTGAAGCTTCGGTGTCCTGACACGATTCTTTCTAAAAGCTTTTCAATGTACACTCGCATTGTTTGGCGCTGAAATTCACGAGAGTCCCTCTTAAAATACCTCCCTCCTCAGCTATGAATCCTCACTGTATCGCCTTTGGCTCTGTGGACAGGAGACACATGAAGAACTCCGTACTAGAATCCTATTATATTTAGGAAGAGTAATGCTGAATATGTCTGAGGTAATATTGCAGGAAAGTAAGTTCAACTGTAAAATCAATATTCCTTCAACCCAACACGTTGATTAAAGGGTGAAATGATCCCAACTTTGACTTGGATGAATAGTTCCCCGAACATAAAGAGCTTAATGCGGAATTTCAGATGCGGGATGATGTTTTATCCTAACCAGGACAGAGCTAAATGTAAAGAATTGCAGCAAAATGTTAATTATGTTTGCATATTCTTTTGCTTCCAGCATCTAGGTCTTGTGGTCGGTGCTCACTGGCTGCTCGCTGAGCCCCCCCCCTCTCTAGGCTGCCTTTTAAGAAATGTCCCGGCTCACTGTAGATAGGAGTCAGTGACATTGTTGGCAGTGTGCAGAGATATGAGCTGCCCGCCGACTTCCACTGATTCACACATCCTGCCATTTCACAAGACAAATTAAAGTGTCAGCTTCTCGAAGATAACTGGTAATGCTGCAGTGGTGACAGGCCCGCTGTGATCATCTCCATTCCTGGTGAAGGATGAGCACTGAGTTGTGTTAAAAAGAGAAGGAAAAAACTGGGGCAGAAAGTCAGTGTCGCGGCTTTCTTTAATGACTGGAGACTTGTTAAGGAAATATAGTGGTTTAAAAGAATGCTTTTGTCAATCCTGTGTATCTTTTCTATAAATTCTGTCCTCCCAGAAAAAATCAGTTAATCCACCATTACAGTACAGCAACAACAACAACACAAAAAGCTTTTTCATGTGTTTTCGTCAGTAATTATCAGTTAGTCTCTCACATGTCCATCTTTTGAATATGGACATTTGGACCTCTCTGGTGTTGTTACTGTTATTAATCCAACTCATTTACTCTCATGTTTCACAGATGAGTTCAAAGCTGTCATTTCATGCCACGTTTGAGAAGACTAAACTTTATTTTGTCTGTTTTCTTTCTTTCTTTAAGGATTATCTGCTGAGTCACATGTACAGCAATGCAGCCAGAGACGATCTGTGGAGCAAGCTGTCCCAGGTACGGCTCCCCTGTGCTTTTGGGACTATAATCTTCCCTCGGGTTTCACATGGAAACAGGCGGGCCCTTTGATGCGGGACTCGAGGCTCAACATTTGTTACCTCGGGACACAACAGAAGCTTAAAGCAGTGAAGCTGCTGATTGTTTGGTCACACTAATGAGGCCCTGAGAGATGCTCATCAGGTGCTATTTAGTTGCCGTGGTAACGGCGAGGGCCTGGTCAATGCTCGGTTTGCCCTACCCTCAGGATGATTTAATTGTTTAATTCCTCTTTGTTTTTACTCTTCATTACAGTGAAACTCCAAAGTTCTCTTTGATTGGCAGATGATGAATGTTCTTATTATAAATTGAAATAATCTGTGATTTCTGTCCCCGCCCACACCGGACAGGCCATGCGTTCAGAGGGAAGAGACATTGACATCGGAGGGATGATGGACAGGTGGACTCTGCAGATGGGATACCCTGTTGTTACCATCAGCAAGAACCAATCCGAGCAGCTCCCGACTCATTACATCACCGTCAGCCAGGAGCACTTCCTGTATGGACAGGATCTCCGGAAAAACATCAGGTTAGAACTCCAGAGTGCTTTTGTATTGCTTTGCGGTTAAAATAAGATTTTTATTAGACCGGGGTGTCCTTGCTGTTATGGTATTCTGTGTCCAAATGAAGTTCCAACATCCAGTTTCAAATGACAAACCAAAGATTTTGAGTCCTCGTTTAACTAGATTTTAATCAGCAACTAAAGAACCTCATGTTTTTCATAATTAGAACAACACCAAATGCATCCTCTCCTCTGTGTAGTCTGTAGATTTTGATCTTGTTGATGAATGAAATCTCACCAGTGGGGAGAAATCGACTTAATGAGGTGATTCAGTCTGTGTCATGTCTGACTTCACCCAACTTGTCATATTATTTTTATTTTTGTAGTGCCTTAAGGTTGGATTCCATAAACTGAATTGACCCCCTTGGATATGATTTTTTTTCATACTCTGTCAGAAAATGGTCTAAGAAAAGAATATTCTAAAACGTTAAACAGTATTTTTTGGGGTTTTTTCCCCCATCTTAAAAACAAATCCCCTTTTAAACATTAAGCTCCTAAAGTTCAAAGTGAGGAGTTTGTGACCATCATTACCACCTGACCTAAGGTCACTGAAATATGATGTTAGATGTTTAGATCATGTGGATTACAGTGTGTATGTCCATAATGTGGTCATTATTTCCCTCAGGGCCTCGTCCCAGCAGAACTTTTTCAACTGGATCATATGCTGAGTCGATTCAGGTCATTTAGGGCCTCCCATTTTTCTCTTTTTTCTCGCTACACTGCTCATCCATTCAGAGGTTTGGGGAAAACCTGCGTTTGGCGCTCCTGATTCAACCATCTTTGTAGGATTTAAAGCACACTTTGAGAAAAAGCCAGCTTTAAGAGACTCCACCTAAATACGGAGTCATAATTTTTCTTTTTCTTACTCTCACCACTTTTCCCCATAAGTCTTTTCCTGTCTTGTCCAAGGCATTTGAATTATACAAATGCTTAATTTACCGTCATATCATATTTATGTTCCATTTGTTGACTGTCAAGAAAAAACTGAAACACTGAACACCAATGAAAAAAATTTCCAGGCCAAAAAGTGGGATGGAACTCATGAACATAGTTCAGATCTCCTTAAAAACAAATCATAGAACTCCAATGGTTCCCAGCAGAGGTGACCCATATATGGACAAACCTCATAACCCCAACAGCTCCTTTATTGTAAAGCAAATGCTGTCACACCTTTAAATTTGCCTGAATAAACCCTGTGCAGCTTTGCCATTATGAGAAAAGAAATTTAGCAGAAACAACAATATAAATATGGAGACCGGTGCCGCGGGGTCTCAGTTCATTATCAGACACGTAGAGGTTTTGAGCATAGGTAAGCACAAAATGTTGCAAACTCCAGACTAACTTCCTAATGATCGATTTTTAACTCCAAACACTTTAAAAGTGAAATGGAAAAGCCAAGGGATTAGTTTTTGTTGCATGGGATTCTGTGGATTAGTGCCTCATCTCAACCCATCCTGCAGCTCTGAGCACCTGCATCATCATCATCATCATCATTATCATCATCATCATCATCATTTGTCATCACTCAGTAAACTGCCTCTTCGTGTACACAAAAGGGTAGGGGTGCAGCTTTGTACATTTTCTCGTCTCCCCTGTGAATCACACAAAGCTTTTAGTCCTTTCATCATCGTCTGTGTAGCCGCTGAGCCAGCCGGCCAATCACAGGCCTATTTCCTGAGTCAATCCAAATGCAAGTCCAATGCTCGGATCTGATCTATGTTTGCACAACGTGTCTAAAAACGCTGGTTTCAAGGTCCTGAGGCACGAGAAAGCAGAAGCTAGCGCCCCTTCCTGTGGTCATGTTTTGATGGATTTCAGGCTGGAAGAATAGCTTTTTCGGAAAACCGTAATCCGGAGGACACGGTTGAAATATCCTTCTGTCTGTACTTTATTGACCTCAGAAGGAGCGCGTCGTGTTTCACCGGATTAAGCCTTCAATTTGTCCCCGGAGATCACGCTGCATTTCCCTCTGAAAAAGCAGACTTTTCCAGTATTTCCACACCTCTTTTATCACCTTTTCATCATTTATATGTCATCCATATTTGATATGCACGATGTTTAATTCACATTCTGCACAACCTTTGGAGTTTGCTCTTTTTTTCTGTTTTATCGACCTACTTTCTCTTCCATGAATACTTAATCAGTTCCTTTCCTCTGTTTTACCTGTTGTTCGTTTCTTTTTTTTTTCTTATTTCTTCCACTCTGTTCTTCGTCATATTCTTCTGGAGTGGCTGACATTTACAGTTTCTGTGGCCTGCTCCGTTTCTCTCAGGAAGTTTCTGTCTCATTTCCATTTCATGCTGTGTTCCTGCTCTTCCTCCGGCGGGGTTCTGCTGCGTTTGGCCCCAGCTGCTTTGCTCGGAGGTCTTGTCAGCCGCTGAACCGGAGCCGTCTGCGGAAGGTGGAGCTGAACTCTTTCATTTGCTCCTGCTGAACCTCAGAGGGCTGCATCCAGACACACTCAGCGCTCCCACGTTGTTCGGCGCTCGTGTAAAGAAGCTGCTGTTAGTCATTCCGGTGTCACGGCTGAACTCCGCCGCAGTGAAGTGAGGCGGAGGTTTGGGTTTGATCCTGAGGAGCTGCATTCAGAAGCACAGCAGTGGCTCACAGTCTCACACGCTGTTGACATAAAGTCCTGCTTTATTCTTCTATTAGTCCTTTTCTATACACACCAAACAAGAAAGAAATCCAAGCATTACCACTGGAATAACCTCAACTGTTTTATCGGGCTATTTAAGATGTACTGCCTTTGAATAACACCGTTCCCTCTAGGACTCTTTCTATACCTCTTCCTTTCTCTACACTCACATCTAGTGGTTTTCTCCATGTAGCTTATTGTTAGGTTGATGCTTCTACATTGTAAGTCACTTTGGATAAAAGCGTCTAAATGCAGAGACATAAATATAAAGACCTTTCCGGAGGGGAAAAATGGCGGCCTTTAGCCACAGCCTTCTGGTTTATGGGACAATAAATGCGGAAATGGCGATTTCACAGAGCGGTTGTTGTTGTTGTGCATGGTTTTCTGTGGAGATTTCAGATCTAAGGCTTTTGAAATGGTTAAACGGGCTGTTATCCACGGGCTCTAATCAGCCCACTTATATAGGCTTTGAATCCCATGTCTCTCTTGTACTGTTGATGGTTACAAGGCCCGGTCTGACCGATGTCACGCTATAGAGGATGGAATTTAGGCCGCATGCTGTTTCTGCTTTTATGCCATTCAAAGGCCGCTTCACATCAAAGCAGCCGAGATGTTAAGAAAAGAAAGGAGATAAGAGGTAAGAGCCACATCCGAGGCCAGCAGAACAGGTATAGGACTGTAGTGGGATTTCCTGTAAATGGTAAACACGACTTTCCCTTTTTTAGTGCTAAAAAAAGGCACAGTTGCTTTTATTTTCATAAACATAGACATTAAGCATCAAAGTACTGGAAACACTCTTATCTAGCCTAACTGTCCATCCTGAATGTGGAACAGAAAGTTTGAAGTATTCTCTTCCTTCTGCTTGGCATGCGTTGCAAAAACATCCAAACCTTAAAAAGTCTGCTCCACTTGGAGGCTGAGATCTCAGATTTGAAATGCTGTGATGGATCATTTTGAGTGTTTTGACTCATTCATTCATCCACGTTTCCTTTTTGTGATGTCTACATAGAGGTGTGCTATTTTGATGAGGACACTTTTGGAAAAAATCTTTTGAGCCACGGGCTTCTTGGGCATCGATCCCCAGGGGTCCGCTTTAGTTACACTCATTTTTCCTTTTTACATTTCCCTTTTTGTATCGGCTGCTGCAGAGCTGTGTATTTATCCATCACCCACTGTGCTGCCTCTACGGTCTAACATGTGCTTTTGCCGTTTTAATGTGTCAGAAAATCTGCAGTTACCTAATTTTAAGTAAGCTTAACATTCTTCTGTCAGATTTGCACAGTAATATTTTCAGATTTTCCATTGTTACATCTTAAATAACGCTGCACGTTTTGGCCCCATATTTCCTGCTCAGTGAGCTGGAAACTTCCTGTTTATCGCATAGATTTATACCAAGGAGCACTTTACAGTCAGGGAGAAAGCAGAACTGTGGGTCATGCATTGGCTGGTTTTCCCTCCAAATGCAGGTGATTACACTGACACCCATCAGGAAACCCATTCCTCTCACTGGGTTGTGAATGATTTAATCAGCATGTCTTGTTGTGATGTTTGTATGCCGTTTGATGTCAGATCACTCTGGCAAAACAGCTTTTGTTCCTGGATGAATAAAACATACCAAGCTAACAATTTGTGACTGACAGTTAGTCACTTCTTCTAAATTGCCTGGCAGCAAAGCAGCTGTTACATTAAATCGACACCGAGTCGACGGCGCTGCCTTCAAGGAAGATGAGCTTTTAGAGGACAGAAAAACCCTCTCTGCCGCGCCGCTTTTCAGCTGTTAGGGAGGCTCTTCAAGCAGCAGTTTGTTTTTCTATTCCGCCATTGTTTTTTTTACCACTGACACGGTGACAGGAATAGGCGTGTTTTCGCACGGCGGCGCGTGAAAGGCAGAGATGAGGAGAAACCACAGACTAAGAGCACGGAGAATAGACGAGGAACAGCCCTGTTCAGATTCCACTGAAGTCTCTGAGCTGTCAGCCGAACAGTCATGTGACAGGACACCGATTGGCTGAGTCCCTCATTTAATGACCTTGTGCTAAACAGAACATTGATGAATTATTCATGAGTACATAAAGGACAATGCTTTTTCTTTAAGTTAAAACTCCTACTTCATGGATTTTTGGAAAAGTTACTAACTATCTGAAATGGTTCTCAGAAGCTTGTGGAACACAGGCCCAGAGTTCCATGGTCGCCATGGCTCCTCCTTTAGGGCAGGATGGCAGTATCTCTTAAAACAAACAATAACACAAGCGGACCATACAGCTTTTTCCATTCACATTTCACTACAGCCGGTTTTAAGGATATGTCACATTGCTGGCAGGAAATAAAAGACTCCCAGACCCTGACCGAAGTGGAACAACAAACTTACAAAATGGAAAATATCAGGTGTGAGTGATTTAAATAACCTTAGTCCTTATTATGTTTTTAACTAACCTTCTCAACTTCAAAGTTCTCTCATGATCAGACCAGAAAATAAAGATTTTCTCAGTTTCGTGCTTTTAAACATTGGATTAATTAAAGAAAATATCCCAGAAAGTGGAAGAAATAATAATAATTGATCAATATATATCATTTAATTTAAACTCGCTTTCAAAACTTTTTTCTGCCTTAAAAATGTTCTTTCAACCCACTTAGATAAACATCACTGGTCTGCTAAATCATCACCATCCTCTGAACCTGTACAAATACTTTTAATACTTTTAGATTTTTAAACACAAAAGCCAAAACTACTCATTAATCATGCCCAAACAAGATGAGACCAAAATTGATCCTAATGTGTTTCCATGCTAACCTGGCCAAAATGCTCTCCATATTTCTCTGGGTGTGACAGATTATAGGGAAATACACCCCTACTTTCAGGAAGCAAAATCCATTTCCATGCCCCTTGACTTTGTGGGGACAGCCTGTTGATGGCCCCTCCTCTTCCATCATTTATGCACAAAGCCGGCATCATTAAGAATTGTGTGTCACGCCATTTCCTGGCCAAACAGATGAGCCAACGCTATAGAAAGAGGTCCACTGAAAGAGCTTCCAGAAGTTTGCTGTTTAGATAAATTGACTCCGTCGTGTAGCTTTTCAGCTTTTGACGTATAAAGTACCAACAGCGAGGACACACAGTCTCATCCAAACTAATAAACACAATCCCCTGTGATTAGGGGTGCCAGCCCTGGTGATTGACCTCTCCACCGGTCAGTCTCTCTGATGTAAATATCAGCTCCAGTGTTTGGCGGCGGGCAGAGGCATCGATCTGCAGCCACAGACAGCCGCTCCACGGATGGAGAGTGGGCTCTGTTTGGCTGTCTGTGGGGAAACGACGCCATCAACACACTCATTAACAGATGGGAATGAGTTGAGCTGATTGTTTTTCCGTCTCCAATTAAAATCTGCTCTAATTAAAAAATGAATCAGTTTGATCAAAATGAGTTAAATAAAAGTTGAGCTTTAATAGAAGTGAAGACAGTCCCACTTTTTATCAGTCATTAGGGTTCTCACATGGGAACTGCGCCGATTAAAAAGCGCCTTCTGCATTGGTGTGTGTGTGTGTGTGTGTTACATGCGGCGGTTGCTAATGGAAAGCATCTGGAAGGGGTTTGTTCTAACGAGCCGGCTCAGTTGTCTCCACTGGGTTCCTCAGCAGACAAACAGCTGGCCAACAGCCACTTCAGACGAGTCCTACTTCACACCGGACATATTTCACTGACTTGTTTGGAGGGAAAAAAAATGAAATGACACAAACTAGACATTTTTTTCTCTTTTGTTTTCGGTGACAACATATCTCCTCTAGCTGTTTTTATATCCAAGACAAATCCGCCCATCCGCCAAACAACCTCGTGTCTTGGCTCTTTTTTTAAATCCTTCTCTCTGTAGCACAGATACCAGCACAGAATTGGAAATCACTAACTGTGGCAAAACGGTGAGCACATTGTACAAAATGAAGCACCACTTCTTCTGCAACTTTCTTTAACAAGGGTTTTGATGTCTTTTGTCATGGTTCTCATCTGACTTTGTGCTTTCCAGGCCTTTTTGTTCCCGTGTTCTGATGTCTGGGTTGACTGACAATGAATGGCTCATAGTCCAAGGACGCCTTTAAATAGACATCTTGATTTAAATGATGCATAATGACACAATAAGTTGTTAGGTGTCTGAAACTCCAAAATCTAGTAAAAAGAAGATCAGTAGCTTTCAATCTTCAAGTTATCTGTTTGTGTGGATTTAGCTCATCTTGGGAACAATTTGTTTTTTTTTATGTTCTGATTTTAGGTATTAAAGGTGAGGTTGTGCACTTTTTATCAATCAGATTTGGCTCAAAAGTCAGCAGAAATGCAGATGGGGGACATGTTTGTCGGCTGTGTGTGAGTTTAGGCAGCCGCTCATCAGGGCAGAATATCCTTTATCATCTGGGAACATCCAACATGCCCTGATGTTTCTGACCCGGTGTATGTACCACTGATGGTTACATCTCAGCCTTAAATACTGGCCTACAATTTCTCCATTTAAGGTTGAAACTGCAAAGGTTCACCTTCATTTATAAAGGATCTACAAAGTTACAAAACTTGAAGTCCACAAGGTTATTTCCTCTCACAACAGACACCGAGCACCCCATGGAATTCTCCAAAATATGACCTGCTATCTACTTTTCTTAAGCTCTTTTCCTTGACCTTGATGGGAAACATCAGGGGAGTAAAAAAAGATGGCAGGAACTAAATGAAGGACTAAGGAAAGGACAAAGAATTCAACTGCCCTGACTTCACCAGGGCTGATGTTCAATAAATATCCTACAAAAAGGACTTTCAATACCTTATCCCACGTCTGCACTAAAGTCACCTCATCTATTTCAAGACTGATACACGTGGACAATGAAGATCCTCTTTTGAGGAGAGCCCTGTATTTATTTGCTGAGAGATCTTAAAGGAAGGTCCTACACTTAAGGTTTTCAAACAGCTCTCACTTCAGCTCACATACTTCAGGGTAATTTCAATGTCAGTTTGAAGATTTCAACCAAAAAAAACAAACAAAAAAAACATATAACCTGAATCACCCCTAGTTTTCTTTTAATTTTTATTTGTACGATGTTGAATTTGTTGGTGCAATCAATTGAGTTTTATCCGCACAAAGGGAAAAAGGGAACATTTGAAGCGACACAAACCAAAAGAAGACAAAAAATCGGGAAAACTTTTGCAACCAAACCGGCTTTGAATGAAATGTGCTGAAGCTTTGACAGGAGAATGTGTTTTCATGTCCTCGGCTCTATTCTGGCTCAGACGCAGCCCTTTAAGCCGCTTTTGTTTTGTTCCTCACAACTTTTGTTTTTTTAAAACTCCCCTTTTCCTTTTTACTCACGTAATTCTGTGTAATCAAAAACCGTTTAACTGTTAAATGTCAACATTTCAGAACCTGAGAACAACATCCTCATTTACGAGTAGCCGTGAAGCCGTTTTGGGATTCTAATCTTTTTTTAAAAGTTTGCAGATTTACTGAAGCGCAATGGGGTAATTCAGCTGATATTTTGAAAATGTGATACGTTTTTTTAAGCTGAAAACACGTTTAACCTGTCTGAATCTATGAAATCTTCCCTTCTCTGCTGTCAGCCTCGGCTGTTACAGACTCACTCTCTTATTGTGCGGCACACAGAGTGTCAGCGGCTCCACTTCCAGCTGACCGATGCTGACCGATCGCCGCTGACCATCGCTCTCCTTTTAATGCCTCTTTCCCTGATGGCACGGGCAATAAAGCCCAGTCCAATTCTCCCCACCGTGGCTGACATCACTCTCCCTCTGCAGTTTACAGTGGCAGGTCCCATTGACCGTCGCCGTGGGCAACGCCTCCGCCGTTTGCCTGGAGAGTCTCATCTGGATCAACAACAAGACGGGTATGTCACCGTGGTGACACGCATCAAACATCTCCACCGAAGTTTAGGCCACACTCCTGACTTGCTTATCTCGTTACCTCCAGATAATGAGCCGTTATCATGGGGTTATTTTGTTAGCTAAGAGTAACTGATGATCTGAAATTAATTATCTCATTATCTCGCCGCGTGTGTGCTGCACTTAGTGGAAACGTGGAGTTGGAGCTGGCAGGTGTGGAATAATGCTCTGTGAGCGGAGGGAGTAAACATCATCAGTCTGTGTTTTTGGCAGACTGGAGCTCGCCGTCTCTTTGGAGTAAAGTTCATTATTCTTGCGTCGCTCCTTTTATTTTGATTCAGCTTTTTAAAAAATGCAGGTCGCCCAAACTTTCCGTAGGTTTGCTTCCAGGAAATGAAGCAGATTCTGATACTTGTTGAAGGGAATGATTCCACTCCTTTTGTTCCACATTATAGATCTGTCTGTGTGGGGATTTAAGATCATTGTGTTCTGTTTTCTGCAATATTTGGTTTAAAACATTCACATTTTAGCTGCATTACTTTATAATTTCCTGTTTAAAGATTTTTATACGGATAAACTTTAACATTTAATCCGTATCTCCTTCAGTTTGGTTAGAAAATTGTTAATGCAGCATCTGTTTTTAAGGAATAAAACCCATGTCTTTGTGAATTAATCCTGTTTGATGACGGCAGTGATATCGGAGCCAGATTTCTAGTTTTATCATGAATGACAGAGGGTTTAAGTCTGCTCAGGGGGATCTAAATGAGGAAATTTGCCAAAGCCGGGTCAACAGCTGCTTTCCTCTTTTTGTTCTTAATCGCTTGGCTTTTTCATACAAAAGCACAGAGCTTAAAACTTCCTTTCTCCACTTCATATTAAATCTTTGCTCTTCTACAAGTGGCTGGTGCTGAGACGTCTGTGTACGATGCCGCACATCTGGCAGGTTACGTTTAACCTGATTAGATCTTTCATTTAGGGACATTCTCAGTGTATTTTCACCCTTTTATACATGAACATTTTCTACTCTGACACACATATTTATGGTGTCAATTTCACATGACATGCTTGTCTGTGTCAACCTTTGTGACCTGTCACCATGGCCATTATTAGAAAAGTATACATATTAAAAAACGATCCTCAGTAATTCGGCTTTGAAAAGAGGATTTGTGAATCAAACAAAGCAGCAGTTTAAAGTGGATCTTTAGGCTCTTTGTTCCCAGCAGTCTGTCACAAAGACACATCATTTGTTCCCATTTCTTTAGCTGATGTGTGAAAAATGGCCAAGATAACACAGTTTGACAGACAGAAAACTGGATTTCTGAGGATTCCCAAAGAGCTGCCGGCTGAAAACTAGGCAGATTTCAGCCTGGTGAGCAGTGAGTCCTGAAAACATCTGAGGAAACTGGACCAGTGGAGGAAAAAATATGTTACCTCATCAGTTTTCTGGAAATAAGTGGATCTTAAATGGGGGCGTGGCTTTAGCCACTCGTTTATCTCTTGGTGCTTTGCATATTTCTGACAGGGCTTTTTCTGTTTTGACTCAGAGACTCACAGGATTGGTCAGATGAATGACAACACCTGGTTGCTTGGCAACATCAACCAAACGGGCTACTTCCGTGTGAACTACGACCTCCAGAATTGGAAACTGCTCATTCACCAGCTGCACACCAACCCCCAAGTACAGAAATCCGACTTTTTCTGCCCGGCCGCTGTTTTTTTCTCTCTATGCTCTTTTCTTCTCATTTTCTGACCCGCTCCTCTGTTTTAGGTCATCTCTGTTGGAAACAGGGCCGGACTTATCGACGATGCCTTCAACCTGGCCAGGTGAGTGAGTCTGCCCACACCAGGTGAATGCCTGTACAATTGATGGATTATTCAGTTAGACCCCCCCCCCCCCCCAACTCTTGCCCTTTGTCTGTATTTCAGCGCCTGATAGAAAAAGTGGGAGCTGATCAGCTGCGTCTGTTTTGGCTGAAATCACTCCTTCTTTAGGCGTCTGCTTCAGCTTTAGAGTTCTTTTAATCTCTCTGCTGCTGACGACCTCACCAGAAAAGTCTATTTCATCATGTTACCATGCTTCTGATGCTATCAGGATTCTTTTCTTTCTCTTTTTGTCTCTGCTTTTGGAGCCTGATGGTGTCATTTGTCCAGCCCTTTTAACTGGGAGCTGTGTCTCTGTCTCAGACATTTGCATACGCTGGGCTTTGGGACGGGGCTTTACCACTGCTAGATGCTACAACCGCACCGATAAGTGCAGCATAGTGGCTTAAGGATTAGCACCGCCGCTTTGTAGTTGAAGGTTTTTTCCAAGAGCCAAATCTTTCTGCTCGCGCTCCGCCTCGCCCTGGATTATCCTCCTCACTTCCTACCAAGAGGGGCACATGTTTAGTGTGATACCTGCACCCTGACTGAACTAACACCCTGTCAAACACTTGTCTCACTGAGTGTTTCACCGCTCTCATTTCAGACACTTGCTGGCTTTGCTTCCAAGAAATAGACTTTGTACATGAACAAAATCACATTTCCAGAACGATTTTTCTTTTTTTCCCCCTAAACTGCCAAAACGATGGCACTGAATCCAGAATCCTTTGCAGTAATACACAAAGTAAATGTTGTTCCAGGGTGCTTTTTCTGATTGTGTTCCATCAGCACCCTTTAATAACCCCTTTAGATGGTTTTAAGAGCTAAGGATACTAATTGTTGCAGCTTGTGTCCATTCTTGCTGTTATCACTGTTTAAAGAGTATTAGAACAGATATTCCTTAAATTTTTACTCAAATATAAATAGATATATAAAATAAATTACACTAGCATTAATATTTATATAAAGATAAAGACAAATAAAGATTTCAACTCCTCTGAGTGAGAACATCCAAATACATTTTAGTCAAATTCTTAAAGCACGTCTCATTCCTTCACTCTTCTGACAATCTAACTTTTGTTAAACCTGAGAGGTGTTTGAGGGGATAGAATGTTTCCTTTCTCAAAAATGATGGGGCTTTCATACAAATTTAGAAGATTTTGGGTTTATCCACGTTAGTCCAAACGAAATCGGATTAAACCCTCATCAGAACTGGCTGAAGGAGTAGTTTTTGATGATTGACTCCACAGTAGAGAAGAAAGACCTTTCCCCTCCGTTTGTGACGGGGTCCGAGGGGCCTCAGTTCTGCATTTAGAGCAGACTAAACTGTGTAAGAGCAGCGCGTGGAGAAATTCAGCGACATGTCGGGGAGTCTGGAGAATGAGCGATGAGCCTCCAGCTTTCTGAGCACTGTAACCAAAATCCACTGTGACACCAACTCCATAACTCAATCTACCCCCGTCTCTGCCGCTCCTTCCTGCGCCTCCCTCTCACTCAGCCATCTGCGCACTGTCATGTAGGATGAGCCCCAGCCAGAGACATCTGTGCACCCCTCCCCTGTGTGTGTGTGTGTTCGGAGGGTCTGGCAGCTCCGAGAGGCCTCCATTTGTTCAGAAACAAACTACAGTTTCATTAATATGCATTCTGACAGCGGAAAAATCTCCCTCTTCAACCTGAATCTGTCGCTATGGAAACCCCGTCACAACAGCACATCTGACAATCGGAGCGGGCAGCGTTTTAGGGGAGTACTGCTCTCCTCAGAGTGGTCCAGCAATGCATCAAATTAAACCGTTTCTGAATAAGAGCTCCAGTCGCCCTGTGACCCCGCTGGGAATAAGCGGTACACAAAATGGATGAATGAATAAGAGCAATCCCCTCACAACACTTTGTAAATGTTTACCTTTGAAGGGTTCTTATCGCAGATGTCTTCTTTTGCTTATGACTGACACACTTATAAGGTCTGGCAAAGGCAAAAATGGTCTCTAAATGTTGAGTCTAGATTTTTAAAAATATCCTTTGACTTATAAAGATGTAAGCTTGGATTTGTGGAATAAGGGGCGAATAATTTTATTTGTTTGTTGGTAGTGGGAAGGAGTTACGTCAGTAGTGACCTTAGTGTTGCAATAGTTGCTACCCATCAATCTGGGAAGGGTATGAGGCCATTTCCTAACTATCTGGACTCCATCATTCTGCAGTGAAAGATTATTCTCAAGTGGAAAACATACAGTACAGCTGTCAGTCTTCTCCACAGTAAATATCCCAGCAAGGTCAGAACCCCCAAACTACACGTCAGGCTGACATGCAGGCTGTACGGCCGGATAAAGGCTGAGCTGAAGACTGGCTGGAACCGGGCTGTCAACAGGACAAGGGTACAAACACAGCAGCAGATCCACAGCAGAAAGTCTCAGGAAGTGAAGACTCACTCGCTTTCATCGACCACTTCCTGCCTTTTGTGTTGGTTCTCATTCAATAATGACACAATGTGGTCAGTGTTGATCTGAAGCTTTATTCCAACACCTGAAAAGGACGTTTGATTTTGATGTTTGACTTGTTTCGATTATAGCCTTAAAGCTTTAATATTGACAAAGGATATCTTCTTCCATCTCGGCCAATCCCGTTTGCCGTTAGGCAAAAGGCTCATTCCACCCTGGAAGGTGGTTTTGTGCACATTCAGTGCTGCTCACTTCTCTGGCATCGGAATGGGTTGCTATTCTTTACGAAGCATAAATCGTCTCGATTTGATTCTGTTTTGATCTTTGGCTGTGTTGTCGTGACAACCGTTAGACTAAGCGCAGCATCGTCTCCAGTGAAACAGTTAATCCATCTGATTATCCCGCAGGGTTCAGAACAGAAACTCCATACCCACAGTGGCAGTCGTCCAAGTTATTCATGAGCGTGAACTGTGACTTAATCACTCTATTTCCATCCATTACGAAGCAGTTATATTTCCATCTTTTCCATCACTGTAATCCCAGGTACTCTGTAATGTATGTTAGCTGTGAGTTATTTCAGCTTTTGATCAAATTCATGCTGTTGGTCGGAGGTGAGGAAGCTGGTTTTCTGTTCTCACTGCGGCAAACCTTTCCCCCTGTTATTGATCCCAGTCCAGGGAGTTTTATTATTTTCACCCTTCGCCGGGTTTGTTTCCAGCCCCATCCGCCTGCTGCTGGTTATTCTGGTGAGCGTACTGTTAATGTTACGCTTGGAATTGACGACCAGAAATGAAATGAAAGTAGTGATGAACTCATCAGGTAGAAATGAAGCATCTGTCGTCCCATCTGATGGATCAATTTTAGCCAAGTTAGATTAGAAGATGATGGCCAGCTCAATCTTTGTTTAAATTACAGGACTGTGGAAACTGCTTGCTTGACTTATTTATAAAGCTGTCTTTTCGGCCGCATGCTGAATTGATTGTGCTTTGAAAGATATTTAATCTAAGGATTAATTTCAGTCGCAGCGATTCTCTGTCTTCTCACAGTTCGATTGAGCGAAACTGGAGCAATCCACTCAGCAACGAAGGCCAATTGGTGGCAGCGGGACTTTGTGTGTGTGTGTGCGTGCGTGTGTGTGTGTAAAACTAGTCCAGCAGTAACAAATGGCCGTGTCTCTTTGACTGTGCGGTTAAACAGTGATGGATGTCGCTTCTCCTTGTGTGTGTGTGTGTGTGTGTGATCACAGCAGTCCTTTGCTGGCTCTCCAGTGAGCCCTGCTAATGGACAAACAATTAACTGGCCCTTAACGATGTTAAAGAGTTAATGAGCTCGTTAAGACGACTATGCTGGGAGACATACACACACACACACACACACACACACAAAATTGAAAATCAGCTGTACAAGTGCTTTACCACACTCCTTTTATCTGTAAATGAAACAACCAGACTGGAAATCCGAGGCCCTGTCGGCACCTCGAGGACTCTTTGTGCAGATTTTATGACAATTGTGGACCAAAGAAACAAAATACCTCTCATTAGACCCTTTTCAGAGAATCCTAGTTATTGATTTCATCAATAAATCTGTAGACAATGCTTCAACCACAAAAACAGATTTTATAATTGTTGGTGCAGAAAGAAGCTCTAAAAACTGTCTGTTTTAATGGAAGTGCCACATCCCCTTTTCAGTCGCTGGAAAAATGCAGATGCAATAAAACAGTTTTTAGAAAGTATTGACTTTATCTCACAGTCAGACTTTAACACTGACATTTTACAAGTATACAGGACAGACAACATAAGCACTTTTTGCTTTAAAATACAGTTTATGTGGTTTAGAACTTATATGTATGCATCTGAAGTTCTCACCTACTTAAAAAAAAACTTTTATTTTGCTCAAAGCATGCGTCAAACATATCATTTAGACTCAGGAAGCTGTGATCTTGTTTTCATCTAATTGGATTTCAGTTTTCTGGGTCTGATAATTGATCTGGATGTTACTTGAAGCCTTCACGCCTCACTTCTGCTAAGCCTGACCAAAAGTTCTCAGGAACACCTCAACAAACACAGTTTGAATTCCACACTCCCCACATTAAGATCCCACCAAACATCCATGGGATGTGCCCCATCCACCAAAGCCAAATCCCCAAATCATAGAAGCTTTGTATGTCATGACAATCTACCCCTGTCCTAATACCGCTTACTTTGGTTGACATGCGCTGCGTGGAATATTTATTTCCAGCGACATAGAGTTTTTGGGAATACCTGAAATGATGAATCGCATGCAGACAGAGCAGTCGAGGTGTGATGCACATGTCTGAGAGCTAATATGGTGCGATAGATGATGGACGACGTTTGATCAAATGGAAAACGCTGAGGGACAAGAACAGGGAAGGAAACAGATAGAAGTTGTCTGCCGTTGCTATGGTGACTGCCGTCTCTTCCTGTGTCGCCACGTAGAGTCCCAAAAGTGTTTTGAAGCACAGTAAACAGCAGGTCTTTGCAGCCTGGATGGATTATGCTAATGTGAAACGGACCAGGTGCATGATGGGAATAAAGATGACGAGGGGTTGGTCGGATAGGAGGCAGATTATGGAAATGTGATGTTATGGAATCGAGAGTTTTCTCGGCTGCTGTAGGACTTAGAGTCTTATCTCAAACAGATTAACTTTCTGAGATGGTCTACGTCTGTCGCACTGTCACTGATTATTATTTCTAAAAGGAAGCAACCCAAAAATATTTAATTCCTACATGGAACACCTTGCCTTCCGTGAAGGCTCTTCAGTCAAATCAGTGTTGAGTCTCAGTCAGAGTAAAGTCATACATTTCACTGCAGGACTCTTCCTGAACACCAATAATCAGAATCAAACTACTATCGCCTTCCTGAGTTCACTTTCCGTCCCCCATCCTCATAAATATTCAGGAACTTTGGGCGGGGCTGAAGGTCTGAGCAGGAAGCAGGTGAGCCCCCTCCCTCTCCAACCAAAAACATCATGAATGTTAATGAATGCACAAAGGAAGCTTGTTAATATTCAAGAGTCCGTGGACATAACTCAGGCAGCCAAACGGCTCCTGTGGTGGATAGAGGGCTGGTTTTTCCTAATGCTTCGGCCCTATGGTGTAAACACTCCCCACGGGGGTCTGGTTACTACCGGGGTTTCAACATCACGTTTCCATCATCCGGTTTACCTGGATTTTTATGACCTTAAATTCAACCGTGTGAGTCTACAGAAAAGGTTTATAATGATAAGTATGTTGTGTATTTCCAAAAAACACATCAAGAACCTAGCTGCGTAGATTTTCACTTTTTTTTTCTAGATGACTGTTAACTTGTCCCCACATTTAAGTTTCTTTTTCCATCATTAATGAAAACAATGTGCTGCATCTTCAAGAATACCATGTCGTTGGTAACAGGGAGCCAGTCCATATTTACTTTGTGCCAGCTAAACTTGTGCAGGTACAAGTAAAACAAAGACTTTATGATTTAAATACTAAATGATCTATATCCATAGACAACTGCCTCTTTACTCATTTCAGTCCAGCCCTTCTTTTTGTAAATATTTTCCAAAATGTTCCTCTACACTGGAATGTTTTTAATTTGTTGGTATGTTTCAATAAAGAGCTGTGCTCGCCTCAATTATTTTTTTATTTTTTTACCATCAATAAGCCCATCACAGCTCTCTTAGGACTGGTTTAAGACTTTTGTGTCTGTTTCCAACTCTTTCACGCCCAGTTGGATTTAGTCATGTCCATGACTCTTGTGATTCCAAGTTCTGACTTGTTTTCTTTACTTTCTCTCTCAGGGCGGGATACCTCCCACAAGGTGTTCCCCTGCAGCTTATAGGATACTTACCGGAGGAGCCATCCTTCCTCCCGTGGCACGCTGCCAGCCGAGCGCTCTACCAGCTGGACAAACTGCTGGACCGCACAGACGAATACAGGCTGTTCAGTGTAAACAACCCATCCATCACAATCTCAATCAATACCAGCTCCATGTTAGCCGAGTAAACTGTCTCTTTAGCGCTGGCAGCTGGGTGTTAATAACGTGTCGGGCGGCGTGTGTTAACAGGACTACGTGCTGAAGCAGGTCGCATCCAGGTACCACCAGATGGGCTGGCCAACCAACGGCCCCGGAGCCGAGGCCAGCATCCTGCAGGCCTCCTACCAGACCCAGTACGAAACACACAATAGGAGCACAATCTCAGAATCATCAGGAGAACGAAGGAACACTCGACAGCTGCCCGTTCACCGAAACAGTCCCGTTAAAAGAAGGTTCAACATTTGGGGAGCTTATCGGCCTCGTTCTCTTTCCCGTCACGCTGTGGAGGAGATCAGCTTTACTGGGGCAGGGGAGACTTTTGCACTCTGGGTTATTCCCATCTTACTCAAATTCAGATGGAAATCTTCCTCTCCTTTGCTGAATATAGATTAAATGTGTTTGGCAGAGCATAGCTAAAAGGATTGAGGGTGAGAATAAACCCTCCACCCTCACAAAATCTCAAGTGAAAATACAACTTACTACATCTGGTTCAACTTACACCAGGAGCTTAGGCTAAAGCCTGGCCCCTCTCCTTGGCCTTACCCCTTTAGAAAGAAATGAAGCAAAGCTCTGCAAAAAGGAGGGTTTGGGCCAAGATCGATTAGGGACTGATTCATGCACCCCCCCTGGTTAGGTTCTAGTTTGTGAGGTGTTCCTTAGAATAATGGATGATTAATAACACAGCTTTTCTCCACCAATGTGTGTCCTTAGAGAGCTGCAGAGGGAGCTGATCATGTTAGCTTGCAGCTTTGGGAACAAACAGTGCCACCGGCAGGCTGTCGCCTACATCTCCGACTGGATCTCCAGCAACAAGAACCGGTACAGTTCTCCCCAACACCATTCACACAACTCCAACCCAAAGTGTTTCCAAATGTCTGGAGGAAGACCCCAACTTTCCTTTTGACTTGGCATAATATGGCTTCATGAAAAATTTCTGTTGTAAGTTACTGTTATTTCAGACTCTCCAAAAGTAGAAAGTAGAAACGGAAGTAATAAAAGGAAATAATGTTCCGCCAGTCGTCTTGTCGATCGTACTTAGATGGAGGTAAAAGCTTGAAATTGTGGCAACACGTGTTTACATACATCCATGCCTGAAAGCACTTTGCTCCCTCAAATTTTCATGCTTTTAAAAAGTGAACAGAGCAGCCGTCATCCAGACTTCCACTCCCATAGCAGCAATCTGCTTTCTGAGTTCCACTTCCACTCTTTTTTTTCTGTCTTTATACCTTTAGCTTTGTTTTTCTGTCCTGTGCTTTAGCTCGTTTGCTCCCCCAAGGCCTTTAACAAGATCTACAAAATTAGATTTCAAACAGAAAAGTAAATGGAAGCAGATGTTGGCGGTCTGCTGTGGGGAGAATATGATATGAGGTCTTGCTCGGATCCAAAAAAGACGAAACACAGAACGCTGTTTTCTGCTCTATCCAGCGAAATTTTAGAAATGGATTATTAGTAAGAGCCAAGCCTGTGTGTCCTCACATCTGATACACAATGTTTCCAAGTCATTCACCTGAGTGTCCTCTTCATCATTGTTTTTTCTTTATCAGTTTAAGTTTCTCTCAGTCCTTGGCTCTAATGCTGCTGGGCAAAATATTGCACTCTCCACCACAGACATAATGCAGACACTGAAGGACTGAAGCTGCCTTGAGAAGTCCTTTCTTACTCGTCTGTGATTTTCTAAAAGGCTTTGAGTCATTGTTCAGAGATTTTCTACTGTTTCTCTCATTTTCAGTCTATTTCTTGAAGCTTATCATTTTTAGAGGAGTGTATTGTTTTTAAACTACTTAATTCTGGGCAATGAAACATTCAGGCAGAAAAAAGGCCAAGGGATGAGCCAGTATTGTGTCTACACAGAACAGACAACTTTAGAAGTAGTTTGAATTGGGTCTATAAGCACTTTCTGACCAGCGGCCTATCAAGAAGCCGTTTTTAAAGAAGAGAAACGGGGAGAAAAGGCTGAGTTCTGCCAAATGGCACAGAAAGGGAATTAGAAGTAAGTGGCAACAGTTCTGATGGAGGGATGAATCCTCCCCAAAGCCCAGGGCTCAACTTTAATGAATCAGGGTGGGGTCATCTAAATAGATGCACAGATCAACTATTTCTCCTTTTAGATTATAGTTAAATTCTTGTTTTCACATTTCCTGTTTTCCTGTCAATTAAAAAAGAATCGAGGGCTAAATCACTAACCTAAAAGTTCACAGAAAATGGCAACGTAACTCTGACGACCACAGGGATCAATTTCTTTATCCTCACTGTGTTCCAAATGTTTCTTTTTTAAATGAAATAAGCTATTTGGTTTCCTCACAGTGGTGAAAAGGTGCCAGATCAATCCACATTCCAGCAGGACTAATCTCTCCGGGGGAGGCTTTTTTTAAAATGTCGTACTTTTTTTCAGCGATCCTAATCCCTCATGGAGATCATAAGTATGAGATTTTCCCCACCAAAGCCAGAGTGTTAATTACAAATACCATATTTAGTCCTGCCAGGGGAGAGCTCATCTGACCCAGCATCAGTTCTGCGTACTTCTGTGTGCGCCCTGAGCGTGGGGCTCTGGTTTCAGCCCCTGTGAAATGTGACAAAGGAGATAAGCCTTGGATGTGAGAGCCGCTCCGCAGACCTGAGGTACACCTGCACGTAAGAAAGAAGCCACCTGCTGTAACAATCCCCACCAGAACAGGGAGAGTAATTACTGCAGAGAGCAGCCATTATTGCAGCACCTACGTCCCTCTGGAATATTAATCACGCCACAATGGGGATTCAGACTAAATTAACCATCTAAATGGCTCGAAAGAAAGATTGTTTTTTAAAGTTGTCTTTGTATGGAAGCGGATGGGAATGAATTAAGCGTGTAGGGCTTTCAGAGGCACCAGCGATCCGCCTGGCCCCCATTAACCCCCTTCCCCTTCATTCCAGCTGCACTATGTGCATTAATTCACAGCACAGTGTGTTCTAATTTGATTGAGTGCAGATAGTTGTAAGAGAACGAGAGTTTCTTTAGTTGAAATACCGGGCTATAACATGACTGCTAACATCTGGTAATAAGAGCCACTCTCCCCTCTTGGATTAAACTGAAGAACAAAGCTATTTGATGCCATTTCATTAGAACTTGATAGCTTTGGATTTAATGTTGCAGCTTTGAGTCTTATTTCTGTCTTAACATCATAACTTAACATGTGGCCCCTTCCATCATTTTCCTTTTCATCAGGTCAGCATTTGTTTTAAAACAGTGAACTACTTTGATACACCTCGGACATTTTCTCCTTAAAAATTGAATGATTTTCAAGTTGCTGCATGTTAGCATTAGTCCCTTTCACACATGCTGTATTTTTACATGAATTTAGAAACATCTGAGTTTGCCGGCTTTATGTGTGAATGAGCACTCTGTGAACATGTTTGTCTGAACTGTAGCAGTGCCAACACAAACATTTCAGAAACCTTTAGGAAAATGATGCCTCAAGACCATTCACAGCTGAAATTTGCAAGGCAGTCTGGCTCCTCTAGCTCAGAATGTCTATAACATGACAGGTTTGAATATTCATGGAGCCAGCTCTAAAACCATTTCTGTCGGTGGACTTTCTGGATGTCTTTCTAGTAAGAGGAGTTTCCAGGCCCAGCTGGTACCTGTGCTGACGTCACGCTCAGCACTCACTGGGGCTTTTAACTAACTGAATGGGCTGTTGTTCCTCTGCCAGGCACTTTAAATGTTTTATCAGGCTCGCTGAGAGACTTTCAGAATTGCGAGTGACGCCTGGACTGTGAGGACAGACAGACATATGGATCCACAGACAGAGCAGATGGCAGGGAGGCATATTTACTGTCAGAGTGGGAGTTTGATGCAGAGGAAGAATAAGAGGAAGGACGAGATATTTCAGGAGAAATGGCTTAAGGACATGAAACATCCTCTGCAGACTGTTAAAACACACACACACACACACACTCACACACAGAGTGAGTGTGTCAGTTAATGGGATCTGAGCCATATGGAGGTTTCCAGAGAGAATAATACATATTCTGTAGAGAAAAGTGTCACATTATTGCTTTTAGTTTTATTAAGAGTAACAGCAGAGCCTGTAGATATGTTAAAACAAGGCGACAGCTAGAAATACCAACTCTGTTTAACACTTTTTATTCTATCTGATAGAAAAACCCGCAGTGGCTTAAACACTTTCTGCATTTTATGTTGATAACAAGATTGAAAGGCTATTCTAATGTTTTGTAAATGTTTTACAATTTTATCTCCAGTTGTTGGTCATACAATCTGACGTTCCTTTCATTGATTTCCTAACGTCAGATCGTATGACTAACAACTGGTGATCGACCTGTGGTACTCGATGAGGGTTCAGGAAAATTCCCCCCCTCATTACCACTGACAGACTTGTTTTCAGCTAGGTTCAGCCCCCATGTAAACCAGCTCCTCCAGAACAATGGCCTCATCAGCCCCAGAGCACTAAAGACAGACATTATGAAAAGAACAAGGTCAGAATGCTCCACCGCCATGTGACTTAGGGTGACGGTGGTACGGATCCAGGAAGTCAATAGCGGGTCAGTTATTTTCAGTTTATCCGAAGTGTTCTTATCGAGCTGTGTCCCCGTCGAGGGGCACGGGGTTGAAATGGCTCTCCTCCCCATCCTCAGATCTGTCACCCTCCTTTTCATCTGACAGTGAACCTTTACTATCTGAGGGCAAAGGAAAGCTTTTTTTCCATTCATTTTCAGTCAGTCAAAATGGATCAATCACCCTCGCCACAACGTGAACACCTAGAAGCTCCTTATCGTCATGTTGGACCTCTTCCTCACTGAATGCCACGTTTCTGGATTTCTGCCATCCATCCTACACAGATGCATGAGTTTAGATCTCATATCAGTGCAGCACACTCAACATGAGGCTGTCAGACTCTTCTCCGGTAGGTTCTCTGAGGCTGGGCTCATCAGTGTTGCTAATGGTGTGACGGCTCCTTCACCTGATCGAAGGAGCATTTTCTTTTTCTTTTCTTTTCTTAACCAAAGCATACAGATTGGTTTGTCTTCCTAACTGTCATTTCATTGATTTAGTTGAACTAAAGAAACAAAGAATCGATGTTAAAGAAAGCCTAGCATGCCTTGGCCACAGGTAGAAAGCATCACTGCATGCTTTTATTTATTTGTGTTATTCCCTGCTATATTGAGTAGTTTTTATGTTAATTGAGACAAAACTGTGCACTAACAGACTGGCTGTTCAGTCAGCAAAATGTTGCTTCTGGGGAGCTGTTTAGACCTAAAACTATTTCAGAGCTGGGTTTCCAAACACAGGGTTGTGAAGGCAATAGCTCACTGTTCCCTCTTTCTTTTGGTAAACACTATAAAACGAATCTCAACACAAAGTGTAAACACACCGCTGGCAGTTGGGCGCTGGCAGCCTTAAACGTACACACTGGAAGGCGCAGCGTTTGGCAGATGTTTCCAGAACCGGACTTTAATGCAGCAGTCAGCAGTAAAGTGGAGGCTGCTGCCTGTGTGCTGAGGGTTGGAGTTTTGCTCTTAAGTGGAGCATCCCTAAAATGATTTCCCAGGTCGGTGAATGAGGCGATTGTGCCCGCACCACTCACTCTGCTCGCAGACAGCCACTACACACCCACCAACACACACACACACACACACACACACACCCACGCCTTGAATACATAAACACAGTCACATGACACAAGTTCAGAAGTTCAGTTTATCATTTTACTGCCAGCTGAATTCACCGTATTGTGATGAGAGTTCACTTTGGTTTAGACTTTAGGTCACGTACACACACACAAACACACCTATAAATATTACAGTGGGAAGGAAGCGGTCACCTCTCTGCCGTTTCGGATGATTCAGGCCAGTAACCAGCTGGGACGGGGGGGTGTGTGTACACTTTGTGACAGAAGCTGGTGCTGAGCATCTCTACAGCCAACACCTGCAACTCTCAGCCCGTGGTGTTGGCTTTTGTTTAGTTTTATTAAATGTCCAGGAGCAAAAGGTTTAGCTTAGCCCAGCATTAGCACAAGACAAATGATAAGAGCATTACACTTTAACCATTGAACTTTTTCTATTGAGCAAAAGGATAGATACTAACAGAAAGACATTAGTCATGTTTGAAAATAAAGTCGTTGATAGTTAATTTCAGTTTTCGTCAGCATACATGCATACGAGGTGCATAGTTGTCAAAATCCATGTCTGCAGGGCAGAAATGATGGGATGGAAATTACAGTCTGTGTAACTTTTCTCTGTGTGTTTCGTAACCTTTCTGGCTTCAGCCCAAGGTCTCGATTAATTGGCTGTGAAGGTGGTTTGGCTAATGTTTCACTGGAGACTGAATGCAAAGGGACTTGGTGCTCATTCAAAAAGGGCAAGAAATTGAAGATTGGGTGAAAGGCCAGGTGGTTTTTTTGTGGGCAGATGAAGGCGTGTCAGCAGAGGTTTAATGCGGTTCAGGAGTGGCATTGTCCTCTACGGGCTTTAGCTCCGCTACAGACCCTCCACAGACCCGGCTGAAGGAGCCTGAATATCAGTTTCAAACTGTGGTATCAGTTCAAAACTTTGTCTGAATTGGCCTTATGTGCTTAATGCCAGATTAAAAAGCATTTAGAAATCATTTAAGGCTCAACCCGAGGCTACCGACCACCAGGGGGGCAACGGTCCAGTCGGTGGAAAATGAATTCTCTTTGTTGATTATTTTAGCTTCAGCAGCACTAATGATTATCACAGAGACATCTCACACTCCTAAAGGGAGGTAAACAAATCGAGCGTAAAATGAGAATTACTCTCTTTAAAAAGAGATGCAGGCATTTGAAAGTGATTGAACCATAAATGCATAAACATATCATCTAACAAGTAGCTCAAATGTCCACGTTTTGACATTCTTTCTCTGACCCGTGGTAAGAATAAGCCACCAACTGGAAAATGAGTGGGGGGGGGGGTAGAAGCAGATACCCAGAGCTACTCATCTCCATTGTAAGTACTTTCCAAATCAACTTTGGGAAACATGCACATGACAGTCATAATGACAGTCAGATGTTGAAAGCAGAACATTGTTTTTGAGATGACAAGTCCTCTGCTTTACTTTGAATGTTTTCCGCTGTGAAGGGACAGAACAGAGCTTTCTTATGTCCTGTCAGAGAGCAGGTTTCTAAAAATCAGAAAGACCTGTTTTCCACCAAGTGTTTCACCGTCTGACTTTCTTAACTTTGTTTCACTTCGTGTCTAATTTGAAGTCCAGCTGTTAACTCAGGCTGCTGTACGCACCCATTAGTAGATTTCATTTTTTTCTCCAAATCTGTCATCTCTCTGCTGTGTTTGAATCTCACCAGCATGATGTTACTTCTGAGCCTCAGATCTTTCATTCCCTGTTTCTATCTATCACACCCCTGGAGCTGGGACTAAAAGATGCCATACATTGGATGTTTTTGAAAATATGTGTTTATAGAGAAAGTTGGTTCAAGCATGATGAGAGCTTTTAAAATGTCTGTACTTATTAGTTATTCATGTTATAAGAACAAAGAGATAAGCAATCGTATATTAAAAAATGTAATTAGTTTATATGAAAGGTATGAAATGTTCGATATAACCTGACAAACATTACATTGGGTAGGATTTTAACAAGAACAGTCACCAAAATAGTGTTTCCACTTCCACATATTTCTGTGTATATGAAAAGCCTTTGTTACTGGAGTAGATGAATACAAGACACTGTTCTAAATGCTTTTTATCCTCAACGTCTCTTATTGAGTGCCTAAAAATAGCTACTGAGACGGCTTTTCCAGCAAATCAATGGGCATGTTATTTCACGTGGAGCTAGTTGGAGAGAATCAGAGGCATTAAAGGTGACAGCTGGTGAGACGCACACCAGGCTCTCTGGAGATGGCAATCATTCCACAAGTGGGGGCATAAGTCTGTGGATGACAGATAATTCATACCCAGGATTTTGGTATTATGCTGAACAGGCTGCAGAGAAGCCATCAAAAGCCCCCAAAATGTCAAGTGGCTGTTGAGTTAAAAGTTGTGTGGTGCAGAAATACTAGTTCAACATGTATAATGTCTCTTTTGGAAAGTATTTTTCCCTTTTAGTATGCAGGGCTTGAAACCAAAGTTGTGAGTTGCAGCATCTCAGCTGCTGGAGGAGAGAATCAGGTCCTGTGAAGCAGACAAAGAATATCATTGTTCCACGGAGTGATTCAGAAGCGTGCTGCTCGCTATTCACACTCCCTTAGTTTTGGCTTATGCTGAAGTTCTGTCTCATAAAGATGGTGTTTTTTTATAAGAAATGGAAAATGTGTTTATTTTCCTAAAACTCGTGTTGTATTTATGAGTAAAAACACTTCTTTTTTTAAAATGTACTTTGATTTTGGCAGTTAGGTCTCATAAGATTCTGAGAGAGTGTGTCCATCTCACGTGGGGGGGGGGGGGCTGATAGATTCACTGTTTTCACTCTGGTACAAACAAAAATGCACTTCTTTTAGATCTGTTTACCCAAGTTTGACAACGAACCCAAGCAGAATACCTCTCACAATCCCATTGATTTGTAGAATGGTTTTGAGCAGACTGCTCAAGAATGTGTCTTTATTTATTTGTCACAAAAGGCAATGATTTGAAGTGTTAACGCTGAACACTTGAGCGGAATGAAAATACCGTGTTTGGTGTTGTCTACATTTCTCACGCCCATCAGAAGGCCACCACATTGCTTCTTCACGTCTCTCATACAGCAACACGGAGGAGATGGTGGTAAAACCGCATTTGTGTTGTTTCAGTACTTTAGCTTCAGCGAGGACTGAATAAATCTTTAGCTGCTTTTCACTGTCCTCTGACTGATCCGGCCAAAGCAAATACTTGAGAAAACGTGTTGGTTCGGAGACGATATCAATCATCTGGGTGTTTGCTGAGACTGAGGACATTACAGCCTGTCATTTACTGAGAGCCTGATAAGCGTAGCATTGGGCCACAGTCAATTATAGATGAAGGTCGAGTGTGACTGATTCTGGCCGGCCGCGCTGCAAATCCTGGAACAAACGCCGGGCTGACCACCCTGACCCCTACACTCAGACTCTGCTGCTCTGACCAACCCAAACATATTAGATTACTTTTAATATTTATGTCACTGCTCGGTCCCGTGTTCTTCTCTTCCAGACTTAATAAAAACTGTAAGGAAAGTGTCTTGGCGACTGGCATGAACATTTGTTGTCTTCTCGACCACATTTTAGGCCCGGCTGCCATTAGTCCTGTATGTATTCAGGAACATTGGATAACTACATTTGGTTCACAGAACCACTTCCCCAATTACACTGAAATCCCACTAGTAGAGGAAGACCTTTAAATGTGTCTTTTCTCTATTTCATGTCCTTAGGAGAAGCGATGGGATGTTTTTTAATGTGCATTCCTGATGGATTCAGAATTAGCACCCAGATTGTGTCATAGTTAATCCTAGGGATGTCTTATCAGGGCCTTTACTTTCGTTATCTTTCCTGGTCCTCTGCTGCTCCCGGCCGATTGAAAGAAAATCAAACACTTCCCTCAAATTTGTGACATAATTTCCGTTTTCCTGTGTTGGGAACGAGCCGCGCCCCGGCACACATTCTTAACTCTGCCTGAAGCCTTGACATTGTACTCTCGGCCCTGCAGGATTCCCCCCAACATCCGCGACATAGTTTACTGCACGGGGGTCAGTCTGATGGACGAGGACGTGTGGGAGTTCATCTGGATGAAGTTCCACTCCACCAACGCCGTTTCAGAGAAGAAGATCCTGCTGGAGGCCCTCACCTGCTCAGACAACACGTTCCTCCTCAACAGGTAGAGCCCATATTTGATTTTCAGACCAAATAAGACATACTTAGACTTCAATTAGATTTGAAAAAGATTAATGAATGAAATGCCCAAATCAGTGACCCAAAGGGTGGAACTGTGGTGGTTTCTCATAGATCCATTTTTTAATTGAAACCCACCATAGACGCCACACAATGTGGATGCTGACACATAACTGTTGCATTTGCTATTTCCTAAGTTATGTAGTTTTGAAAAATTATTAGTATGATATATTCTAATTGTGTTATGCGTTTTTTAACTGTTTTCAGAAACGTAATGTTTGATACTGAGGTATCCGCCTCCAGGGAAATGAGACAAATACTTAAGAGAACCCCAAACGTTTCAATACACATTTAAAGTGACACAGTGAAGTGGCTCTCTGATGCCTCTTTGGTCAGGGAAAATAAATCCAGTTTCTCATAAGTTCTGTGTAGAACCAAATTGCAACTACCTCTAGTACCAGAACTGGAGCCACTGTGATCTAACAGGAAGTTGCTTGAAAAGAATATTATATTTCTTAATTAATGGGAGAAAATCCACTAAGAGGAGATTTGTTTTGCACTGGGATGATTCTGAAAGTATTTTCATCTTTTTGGGAAACGGTCAAATGTTGTTTGTGAGGTGAACTAAAAAAAGGGCTTGTGAAGGCAGCCTCTGTGCACTCAGAGCATTTATCAACATCGGATTATGTTGCTGAATTTCTGGAAGTCCTATATAGAAAACTAAGGAGCCAGAGCTGCTCGAAAGCATTCCACTGAATTCATACCACCTTTCTTTGCTGTTTTTTATTTTTATTCATTATTTGTATAGTAGTCCAATGAATGAAGAACAAAGTGTTGGACTTGTTAAATCTTCTCTTTCATTGATTCATTTATTGATTTATTTATTTTTCTTTCTTTTTACATCCACTTCAAATGAATATGAGATGAATTTCTCCAAAAGTCTGACCAAATCAGTGTTGAAGTTGCTCAGAAGCACAAACTATCTACCAGCTGCACAGAAAGTTTATCCAAACTTGTGTGAGAATAGAAAAATATCTGTGTGTGGCTGAAAATGAAATCGATAAGATCTCAGAGACCGAACCAAGGAAATGTGAGCTGCGAAACCAAAACAAATTTTTTTTTAGTATCAAATTCTGTTAGCTTCTTGCCTAACACCGTGTTTTGTCTCACCTATAACCTCAAAAATTGATCAGTGCGATCATTCAATAGCTGCCCTTCTCTTCTTTCATGAAGGTCTGCAGAACTAAATATGATCACAACAGATTGCTGATTGAAAAAATAACAAAATTTGTGTGACTAAATGTTCCATGAGATGGATTTTTCTCTTTCTGAGGAGCAGCAAGGTTCAAGGAAACAGATTTTTGCAGAATACCGACACACAAAAGGAGTGTGCAAAGGGAGTAAAAAGTACAGTGAGAATAGTCGGACGTCCTCCAAGTACATAAATCAAGCCTGATGTGTGTGTAGGTGTGTTTATATGGGAGTGTGTGTGAACATCAGAGTATTTTATCATCGGTAAACTGCAGATATATTGTTCAGGAAAATAGCAAAGATGGATCTCGCACACAAACTGTACAGTGAGACAGATTGGTTTGTGTGTGTGTGTGCGTGCGTGCGCAAGTGTGTGTGCGTGTGTTTCATTTATTGATTTTCCAGACACAGTAAACTGTTCTCCAATCAGAGAAGTAGAACTGCATGTTCAGATAGCTGCACAAAAACACACACCTGCGCACACACACACACAAAAATCAACAAGCGTAGCTCAGAAGCCCGTTGATTGGCCACATAGGAAATGGTTTCAGCACAGAGGGATTGTGGGAAAAGAGAGAAAATTGATTCTTGAGTTTAATGAAACAGCAGCCCAGAGAACCAGCTAATAGACACACACACACACACACACACACACACACACACACACACACACACACACACGAGTAGGCAATGAAAAAGCACCGAAATGGAAAAGAACGTTATAAAGATGAAAGTAAATCCCAAACCTCTTCAGTCTTGTGCCCAAAAACTCTTGATTTGATGCGTTTTTGGAATATTTTACGTCGGTCTTCTGCAGGTGGGAGCAATCGGATAAGTTTTCCTCACGTCAGTGTTTTCAAGAACTCATTCTCAGTTTGACAGAAACAGCCACCAGCCGGATTCCTGAAAGCACAATTATAAAACATCAATTTCCATCAGTCAACGTGACCTTTTCTGCCTAAAATCTGCAGACGTGTTTGTGAGCCTGCAGCTTTGACTTCCCTCCTTTTTAAAGCTTCCACTGAGGAAGGTAACTGTACCCACAGTTAAATCAAATCGGAGCTCCGCTATTAAAATAAGCTTTTGGTGCAGTGAGCTCTAAAATAGGAGCTTTTTGTTGACTCTTAACTTGCTCTAACCCCGTTAGATCCCTCATTGCCGGTGACGTCTTCTCTGTATCCACCAGGCTGCTGAACCTATCCCTGACCTCGGACCTGGTTCCTGAGCAGGACGTGATCGACGTCATCATCCACGTGGGCAGAAACCCTCAGGGTCGAAACCTGGCCTGGAAGTACTTCAGAGAAAAGTGGGACGTCCTGAACGCACGGTGGGACTGCACACACAGCTCGACCCTTTAGTGCCACGGTACCGTCACAGCTCCAGTAAACTCTCGCCCTCTCTCCTCAGATACGGCGAGGCTTTGTTCATGAACTCCAAACTCATCGGTGGAGTCACAGAGTTCCTCAACACCGAGAAAGAACTCAATGAGGTAAATCCACTAAGATGTATAGATGGTGTCCCACCGTGATTCACCAGCTGCTACATGAAACCAATCCAAGGCTGTTTATTGGGCCAAAAGGATTTCTTAGATGCAGATAAGAGCCCCTGTAGTGACCCGTCCTGGTAGGTCACATGTTTAAAGATGGTGCTGATATAAACTCTGTAGGACTATCACTTTCACTGTTCAATAGATGCTGGTGGTTCTTTAAGGAACCCGTAACCTGTAGCTCTTCCAGTGGAGGCTTCTCCCCTGTTGGACGTTAGTTTGTAAACAGCCAAACAAAGCTAAAGCACCAACAATGGCACACACCACTGTGGATAGCTCCCAAAAATAATAATTTAGATATTTTTATTAGGTATGAATACATCCTTCACATTTAAAGACAGAGAAAATAGATGTGAAGTTTAGAATGTCTGAGCTTGTACATTTTTCGTACTCTGTTGAATAATTCTGAATCGTCTGAGGTGAAATAGTATTGTGTAAAGTCACATGGAAAACAAATTTTTAACAAAGCGTATGATATTGTGATCAGAGGGAGCTTTACTGAGTCATTTAGGTACCAGAGCAACAGCAGCATGTAGAGGTGCGGATCAAATCTCTGTGGAAGTTCACATCCTCCTACAGAACGAGTTCCGCATAACATACCGCATGTTCTTTGCCTGTCAGTATCAAAGTTGAGGTAAACTTGAAGCCTTTCCCACCGTCCAGGCCCTGAAGTTGATTATTGAAAAATTAAAAAGTAGTGCTTGATTAATGGCTGTAGCGGCTCCACTGGTGAGTCATTTCAAAGTGACAACACCTGATCATTTCCCGAATAAAAGGAATCTTTACACAATGGAGAGATCACAAATAACAAAAAAGCTTGAGGGTTGAAGGTGATTTATTTAATTTTTTATTCATATCCTGTTGGAAATTTAACAAATTTCAGCCCGGGCACGGCCTTCACTGTCAATGAAACCTCTGAACAAAAGCGTCTTTATTTTCCAGATCTTAATGCAAAAACTGTAACAAAGGAAGACTGACGTACCTTTAAATTTCAAACCTGAACACATTCCCCGGTGACTCACCTGGGAGAAAGAGGGGGAAAGGAAGCAGAGCAGAGAGAGTGAGAACTGAGGCCAGAGTTAACCAAATGAACGGCATGGTTTCTCCTGCTTTTCACTGAATTTCAAACTAAAAACAAGTTTCCCCTTCCTTCTTAAACGTTTGATTAATTCTCGATTTTAAGATACAAAAGAGTTTCTCACCTCAGATGCTGGAGACATTTCTTTTGAATTACAGACCTGAAAAATGAGTTCTACTTTGACGTGTTCAATTCAAATCATGTTGAGGTTCAGATTATGAACTGTTGAATCAATGTTTCTGTTCGGACATTTATATTTTATGGCAGCCTCCCTGGCTAGACTGCAGACTCATTCCATGTGCAGAGCAGTGAGAGCTCATAGATTGGTGTTCAACCCATTGTCCTTTCGCTTTTCTGCCTCCACTGCTTTCAGCTACACAATTGGGTACTTTTCTGCCTCACTGCTAATGACAAAAGTTAGAAATTTAGAAAAATGGTTTCAACAAAACACTGTTGTCAGGGGCTGACTGTCCCCATCACAACTTAGTGTGACTTCCTGAGAAATAAAACTGCCTCAATGGAAACGGGAGAACATTTCTTACGAATCAGATTCTTAGTAGTGGGTTCTGCTGCCAACTACGTCCAGCATACATCAACAAAAGCATGTACCAATGGTTGTTTTTTCTTGGTGGCTACTTTCACAGCTATTTTCCCCTAAATTCTCAGCATGTTCTTTTTCTTCCAACACAGATGGGCTTTTCTGTCCTGACGATCTCTTTACTTTCCTAACCTTTCCGTTCACCCTTCCTACCCTCCTCTCCTCCACCGCCCCCCTGTCTGTCTCTCCTCAGTTGAAGGAGTTTATCCAGACCAGCGGTGTGGGGGCGGGGCCGGCGTTGCCGCGGGCGCTGGAGATCGTTGAGGGCAACGTGCGCTGGCACCGCCTCCACCGCCGGCAGTTCTACCAGTGGCTGCGCAAGCCCCCAAACCCCAGCCTCGGCTAACGCTGAGCTAGCATAGCGCATCCCAGCCAGTAAAGACTGACCGCTAAGCCAACACACAGCACACCCACAGATGCCACAACAAAGAATGTGGCGGCAACAAAAAAAAGTCTCAAATGGTTTTATTTTTTTTAAATGTACGATTTTTCCTTATAATGGCTTCCTTAAGTCCTCAGTCTATGGCTGATTTATCATACTGGTTTCTGTGCTGTGAGCCTGATGAGGGAGGCTGATTCAGGCAGTGTTCGGTGGCCCCAAACCCATGAAGGCTCACAAACATCGCCCTTAAGTTAGGAAGCCAGAAATCATTTGGGTTTTTTTTTTTAAAACCTCGATTTTTCAATTCTAAACTAATCTTAATCCTAAAAAGCCCCTGAAAAGAGTTGTTGGTATCACATATTTAACCTGCTCATCTTAAGCAGTCTCCCATGATTCCCTTAAAATGTGCAAAATTGACACTCATACATGGTGCTACATAAGGCTACTGATTTTCAATACGTTTTTCAGTTTGTTTTAATGGGTTTTCTCTGTAGTCTCGTAAATGCACAAAAGCTGTGAGTGCCAGTCCATGAAAGCGAATGACAGCTTTGTGTTCAGAGTAGAATGGCTCTGATTCAGTCACATGTTTTATTTGACTGAATGATTTTAGGTTCAGGTACATGTTGTTCAGCACCCATTTTTTAGAAATCAATGATGAGCTCAATGATGTAATGTGCAAATGTATATTAATACATTTGTTTGAAGATTTAAGGATAGTACTGTTCAAAAATTAGTACTGACAGATGTTTTCCCATTGACATGAATATAGAAACGACTTTTGAAATACACATCAACACGTAACACTTACTGCAATCATACTTCATTTAATTTCCAGGTCTGACAAACAATATAGAACTCACAATGCTCGCCTGCTCCTGTGTGGACACAATGTGTTGAATTTAGCTCAAACTGGATCCGTTTGCCTGCACCACATTAACCCAGCAGTGACAGAAGATCTCAGTAGCAGCGTAGAATAATAACCAATGCAGCTCTCTACAGCTAAGTGCAAACTGCTCAGAGCTGTGAAGGTCAGCCGGGCAGCTTTACACCGACTAAGTTGTGTAGAAGAAGCCCATTACCTATGAGCTGAAAGTGGAAATCTCACAACCCACTCAGGCAATGACTCGTTAAGCTCTCTCACTTTTATGTAGGAACAAAAACACTATTCTGGGGAAATGGAAAAGAACAGGAAGTGGCTGTAAGCACAGCTCAAACTGACCATGTTATGCTGTGGTCTCACAATCCAGGGTGTGAACAGATTTCATATCCAATTTAAAATGCTTAGTGGATGTAGAAAAGTTGGTGCGGTATGATCAAGTTAGTGACAGCTAACCAGTCAGGAAGTCATTTCAACAAGTGGAAGCCTCCTAGTAGCAGCTAATAGCTGGATGCAACCAGCACTTGGCCTGTTTTTAAACTGAATTTAAGGCAGACCAAACAGATCAGAGGACTGAGATCTAGAGCAAAACTCCTGCTAAAAGAAGCATTAAACATTCCCCTTAATGCCATAAAAGTTGGGCGTTTGTAAATGCGAGGCTCCATTTAAGCCTGCCTTTGTTTTAATTCAAATTCCATGCAGCCAAAGACAAAGAGCAGCTCAAATCAGAGCTCTGTGTTTACTCCATTAAAGCAGCTGTGAGTTAAGGGCAGATCCGTGCGCATGTCGATCAGCGAGCAGGCTGTAATTAACACCGCCTGGACTCCGTGTCCTCTGCTCACAGCACTCAGAAAGCCCATTCAGACTCATTAACTCTTCACAACATCCAAAATGCCGCTGCTTGACTTTAAAGAGCAGCTTTGTTTTTGTCGTGATCAAAAACTCCAGCGGTTTGGGGGGAAATCAGTGGGTTCGGGAGGCTTTCCTTATTCAGAAATGTTCTTTGAATGCAAAAGCCGTCTGCAGCTTCAACATTTGCCACAGAAAGCTCCACATGTGAAAGAATAATTGTTCTGTGAAGTGTTCAGTGTTGTGCTCCGCTTTCTGTTTTAACAAGCCGAGCTGGAACATTTCCACAGGAGACTTAAGAGGAAAAACAAGTGTTGTGACATCAAAGCCGGAAAGGAATCAAAAACCAGTTTAATCAGACAGGTTTTAAAATTAGGGGAAATTGACAGCTTTGACTGAAACCTCCCTTTAATTAGCTTAACAATTCCATTTTCCAGACTCCAGAAACAAAGATAACAACTTAAAGGAGAATTGCATTAAAATAAATCTTCTTAGAAAGACCAATTGAAAAAACTCGGTAGACCAATGAAACTAATAATTGAAAGAAAGGCTAGTATACTGTGGTTGTTGTTGTATGCTTAACATCAAATGGCTGTTGTGTAGCTCTATAAGCATGAATCAAACCTGGTTTGATGTGGTCTTTGGCCATAACAGAGTTATACTGGACCATCATTATTGTTACACAGGAACTATATCCAGTTTAGAGTACGATTGTGCTCAGACCAAAATGATTATGAGCATTTCAAGCATTCCAAAAGTCTGTTTTTGTGTATAATGCATAGAAATGTTAGATGCATGATACAATCCATCAAAGAACAAACTGCTTTTCATCATAGCTGACCGTTCCGTCTTTCCCCACAATCGTGCTGTTATCATCCCCAGCATAAAATGTATGCCCAGTCAATAGATTTTCTGTCCTTTTTTTTGTCTCTCCATTAAGTCATACAGCTGGGGGACGGATGGAGAATGAGTTTCTCTTTCATTTACCTGATTTTTGCCCTTGAGATGGGATAACTGACTATTCCAGTGCCTTTCTGGGAAGTTCTCAGATCGATATATATATATATATATATATATATATATATATATGGGAGCAGCCACGTAAACATTACAGAGAGCTCAGAAAAAAACATCCTGGCTGCTTCATTGACAACAATTGGGGAAAGTCGCTGGCCCTCAGAAAGAAAAAAAACAACAACTTTGGACAAAATCCCTTAGTCCTGAACTTAAAAAAAAAAAAATTTCTAACCAAGTAATCTAGCCTAAGCCGCTGGACAAAATAAATGGTCAGATTTCAGTCAGTGTGTTTTCATGTCCAGAGATGGACCACTTCATGTGACAAGGGGCAGAGCAGACGGTCATCTGCCCTTTGGCTTCAAGGAATATGTGTAGTGTCCTTATACGCAGGTGATGTGGCTTTTTGAACGAGGTCGCCCTATTTTGACCTGACAGATGACCAGTGGACCTTAGCAGCTTGCTTATCAGTCTGGACAACATGATGGACTTGAACGTGTGATGGGACATTTTACGAGCCGCTGTAGATTTCTCTGATTAAAGACGGAGTTCATTCCCCCGATGGATCTTACAAGGCAGCAAATTAAACATTGTGTTGGATTTTAATACTTTTGTTGGAGCCAACTGGCTGGATTTTGTGACTTACTGGACGTTTTGACCTCTGCTGTGTGGTGAATTCTAAAATGTGGACAACCTTACAGTGAACTGTGACCAGCCGTGTGGACTGCAGCCCCCGCCACTGGACATATCCTGGTGGACGTAGGATGGAAATGGGGACGTCTTCTACTGATCAGTGGAACTGGCATAGATTGTACAGTCTTATTATTCTGCATAAAATATGTGCAGCATGAACATTTTAACAATGGAATTTCCAGGGTGGATGTGCGATTTCTCCCTTTCCTGAGTTTCAATTCCAAACTTTTTCAATGTCAAACTCAACATTGGGACATTTGTTTTTGGTGTGTTTTGGTCACTTAAAGCGCCTCTGAAGTCCAGTACCTCTTTAGTCTCATGACTTTGGGAATCTTGGAGAGAGACTAAAGGAAAGATCTGATGTGTTGAACTTCTGTCATGTGGAAGAAAGTTCTTGTTCCTCTTCTGTTAGAAACAGCTTTGATGTTAATAATTGAGCCATATGTGAATTAATGGGCCTGCCTGCTTCTATACAGTGTGTCCAGTGATGTGTGTGAGTGTGCGTGCGTGTGTGTGTGTGTGTGTGTGCGTGATGAAGACGATGATGAAGATTACAGCAGTGGCTACAGCTGTGTCAGTCATGATTAAAATTCTGATAATTAAAATGATTACAATTATGACATAATTATGTCTGATTGCGGAGCTACTGAGGATGGCAGAGACAGTAATGATCATTTTTGATGTGAACTAATTAGCATTATGATTATAATGCTAATTAGCCAGTGCATTTTGAACCATTATTGTCCAGTCAGGGAAATCTGGTTTACAGACTTAAAGCACACAACATGTACAGTGAACACTGTAAATTATATAAATGTGATACTTAAAATGTGGAATTTATGTTGATAAAAATAGGTGTTGATTATGATGATGATGATGATGATGGTGATGATGATGATTATGGCTTGGGACCAAAATCTGAAGGAAACAGGAAGTTGCAGCAACATATTTGGTCTTACTTCCTGTTTACAGTGCTTTGGTTTCCTGTGTTTTCTCATTGGCCAGTATTAAAAAAATGGTGACCTTCGGACTGATTTGGTTTGTTTCTGTCTGACACCTCGGCAAAGTGTTGAAGAAACAGCTGGAGGGGCTTCCCAGTGATTAGATTTCTGTTACGTGGACAAATAATTTGCTCTTTCTACTTTTATTCTCTTCGTTCCATCATTTTTAAAAGAAATACTCAACCCCATTGGCTGAAATGGAGCTTCAAATCATAGCAAAACCCTATGACCATCTCAGATTCAGTAGAAACATTTCTAATCTGGACTAATGATATAATAACAGCAGTGACTAGAGCTTTTATATCTAGAGTTTGAGTGGGACAGCAGCCAGTACCTGCAGAACCATTCAGAAATCCTGGAGAGTGTAGTGCAGCTTTCCCCATGTGTGACCTGTCTGCTTTTAGAGTTAAAGTGAATTTGAATGTCCTTTTAGCAGCTCCGATGCAGCAAATGCAAAACACCGACATGGCTGCTTCCTGGAATTTAAAGATACCAACATAACTGTGACGGGTTTGATTTAGGCCAGCGTT